TTTAAAAGTGTGTTTTCTTCAAGCAGCATTTTTATGACCCTCAAAATATGCTACATAGGCCTATTGGTTTGATATTATAAAATGTTTTGTTAAATGTGTTTTTAAAATCTTTAAAAATAACTACCCTATAACCTTGCTCGCTGCCTATAACATACTTGAACTTGAACACTTATTAATTTACTAAATATAATACACATTACAGCTAGAAAATGGCTGGACTGCTTCCCTTCCAAGGCTTCATTATTACTGTTTAATTTTTGTCGTCGAGTCAATAGGTATATATAATACGATGAATTTGTTTTCTAAATTCATATGTTATTTTGCGGGGCATTGAGCCGCACAGGTTCACTAGTTAATGAATTAATTATTGACTATTAATTTTACCTCAATTAAGTTTCAAATGACTTTGATTAGTCATATCAAAATTCAGAAATGTCTACTACAGACAGCTGAAGTTGGGTTCCAGATTCCAGGAACCAATCAGCAAGCGATGACAGATTTCAGTCATCCAAAGGCACTGGACGTGAAAACAAACAAACATCAAAACTGATGAGTCAGTCCACAATAATTTAAGAACAATGTGTAGCCAGCAGTGATGACAAGTTCCGCCCACATTGCTACAGGAAATGTTACATTTGGATTGGCGGATTTGAAGGTACGGGCCATTTCAACAATCGTTCTGTTCTCTCTCTCTCCACAGCACCATTTTGTCCGGGTGTATATGGCGCTGTCAGACATTGGTTTACACCATATTCTTTGAGAATTTGACAAACTTCGGCGTTGTCAAATTCACCACCGTTGTCGCTGAAAAACTTCACAGAGAGCCAACACTTCACACAACGCTTCCTTGACAGCAGATTTTTTCCTTGCGACAAAACAAAACAGTAGCAGTACCTTGAAAAGTGGTCTTTTATGACGATCAAGTAACGACAACCTCCGAAGGATGGGTCAAACGGGCTGCAAACATCACCTGATAATAACTCACTTGTTGCTGAGGGGTGTTCCGAATGGTAGACGGTGTGCCTTTCCGAACTGACACGGTTCGCAGATTTCGTAGTTGGCTGCCACTCTGATACCCATTTTGGATTCGAGCTTCGATCGGACGTAGCGTTTTCCATGTGTCCCCAGCGCTCATGATTGCAGAGTGTGATTGCCTTCTGCTGCATTAGCGCAAACCTCAGACGGTTGAATTTGTGAAATGATGCACGATACAAAGTTCCACCACAGTTTTGAGTACCTTTGAATACAGTTTGTTCGTTAATAGTGAACCAATTAGTCAACTCAAACCTACTATTAGGGTTTCGATCATGAGCTGCGAGTATGGACACAAATTCTGAGAAATGTCAGGAACATACTAGACATCGTTGAGTGTGAACGTTTCGAGTTTTCCATTTTCATACTTCGCTACTTCAACGATTGCACTGCCAAGGGCTTTTATAACTTCCTTTCCTGCCACTATTTACTGTTACAATCGAGTTTGCAGGAAAAGGTTTGTAATCCGTAAACCAACACAGATTTGATGTAATGTGCCGCGAAGCGCCATTTTCGATACACTACTGGTCATTCGCGGTCACGATATTCATGTCACTGCTGATGGAAATCAGCACACTTGGGTTGTCGGTCACATTAACTTGTGAGCCCTTCGCTCTCTTCTGATCAGTGTCACTCATTTTTGAGCTAGTGCTAATGACATTAGCTCGAGCTGGATATGCAAGCTTGCCGTCACCTTTCCATTTAAAACACTGGTGAATCCAATGACCTTTCCCTGAACAGTATTTGCACAAAGTGTCACCTTTTGGTTTCCTATTCTTTTGACCACCGCTGTTTGTGTTATTAAGAATGCCACCAGCTTTTGAAGTATGAGCAACATTGCACTCATGAACGATCAATCCAGATGAAACATCTTCAAGTTTCTTGCTCTCGTTTGCCTTCATAAGTAAGTAGCTAGATTTAAACGATTTAAAGTGCTTCGGCAAAATGTGTAACACTTTTGACACAAACGGGAGCTCAAGAAAATCTTCAACTGTTTGGGTGTTACGTGTTTTTAGGCCAGCTGCAAATTCGGGGTTTTGGTTCTTCAATCTTGAAAGCACGTTCAGGGCATCCTCGGTATCAACCCATTCCATACTGAAGAAATCCAAACACTGGCGAAAAAACTGGTCTTCTGTCTTGTTATCAAACTGCTAAACCAAAATGTCCCACGGTTCCTTAGCTGATAATCTTCCGGAAATACCTTGATGTAGATCATCACTGACACCCAGAGAAATAACTATTTTTGCCTGAGTCGTGGATTTGTTGAATTTCTCAAGTTCTTCCTTTTTGGCTTTAGTCAGAGGCTCAGAGAGGGTAGACTTTACTCTTTCCCTCGACGATATCAACTGCATCAAACAACTCCAGCACGTCCTACCTGCGATCTTTCCACATGACAAATGACAAATGACAATTCTTTATTGCACATAACATCTGTTAAAGTTATTACAAATGTAATACACAGACAGGTACATTGTCAAGGTTTCTAATAAATAAGGAAATCTTAATAGGTATATAAAAAACCTAGGATTTAGCCAGTAAGTTACCCCTACAAAGCTACAGCATGGTGGAACTGTTTATGTTAGGAGAGGTTGATGAGAGATTGGGTGTCTGTTACCAGGAGTCGTTGAAAAATTCCTCAAGAGTGTAATATGCTTTTTCTACTAAAACTGTTTTGATTTTGTCTGTAAATTTTGCTAAGTTTAATTGCTTTAAGGAGTTTGGAATTTTATTGTAAATTTTTAACCCCATATAGAGAGGACTTGTTTCATATTTTTTAAAATTATGAGTGGGGTATTGAAAAATGTCTTGTCTTCGGGTATTATATGAGTGATTACTAAGATAATTTTGAAACATACCAGGATTTCCATGAACCATTTTTAAAATTTCAAAAACGTTTTTTGAAGTTAGAGTTAAAATTTTAAAATTTCGAAACAGTTGTCTACATGATGTTTTTTTGGGGCAATTTGCAAGAGTTCTGATTATTGACTTTTGTTTTTTAAAAACTTTGTGGACATCTGTGGCTGTCCCCCATAATGTAATACCATAGCTTAAAATAGAGTACACATAAGCATAATAAACATTTTTACATACTTCCAAGGAGGTAACCTGAATTAAAACACTTAAAGCATATCTTGTTGGACTGAGTTTTTTGTTTAGAAAATTAATATGTTCTGTCCATTGTAGTTTACTATCCAAATATATCCCTAAAAACTTTACTACATTTGTGGGCGAGGCAGTAGTTTCTGTTCCAGTGGTTGAATTTCTCAATTTGAAAATTAAAACACTAGTTTTATCTTCATTCAAAAGTAAGCCATTTTTTAAAAACCAATTTGCTATTTCTCCAATTGTTTCTTTGACATCATCATGTAACATTTTAACAGTACTTCGTCTGATGAGAGCTGTTGTATCATCTGCATAAAGGGTAAAGTTACAGATTTGACTTGAAAAATGAAAAGGTAAATCATTAATATATGTGAGGAATAAGAGAGGACCTAGGATTGAACCTTGCGGAACTCCATAGTTATTATTTGCCCAAGAAGAGTATTTGTTCCCAGAGGCGGTTTTAATTACTGTTCTTTGTTTTCTATCGCTTAAGTAAGACTTCAAAAGTTCAATTATTTGTCCATGAAAACCAATTGCTGTAAGTTTTTTGATAAGAATTTTGTGATTAACACAATCAAAAGCCTTGGATAAGTCGCAGAACACACCAGCTGTGCACTGCGACTCATCCAAGGCCTTCAAAGCGCAATTTACAAAGTTGTTTAAAGCTGATTGGGTATTTAGATTTTTACGGAAACCAAATTGTTCCTTGCAAAACTTGTAGTTATTTTCCAAAAAGCTAGATAATCTAGTGTGAAGAATTTTTTCATAAACCTTTGAAACATTACTTAATAAAGAGATCGGTCTGTAGTTCTGTACGTCATTTAAACAACCTTTTTTGTGAATGGGTACTATTTCTGAGAGTTTTAGTAGTTGGGGAAAAACACCTTCTGCAAAAGATTGATTAATTAGTGTAGCCAAGATGTTTGATATTTCATTTGCTGACCATTTCAATAATTTAATGGGTATACCGTCCCAGCCACAGGCATTACTGTTCTTTAAACTTAGAATAGTTTTTTTTACTTCAATTTCATTTGTTTGACGAAGATTACCTAATTTTGTCACATCGGCCAATCTTCTGCTCTTTTCAATGGTTTTATACCTTTCACGTATTCCATTTGTAGAACTGGATGAACTCGATAGAAAGATATTCCAAAGAAATATTCGTGAGACAGAAAATCGCGTCAGAATAAATCTTTCTTACCGTGTACTTTGCAGACTAGATTTCCTAACACTGTTATGTACATAAAACGACGCTGGGCCCAAAACCTGTTGAATTATTCTCCCAAGTGGAGTTGTTTAGGGAAATCTAAGTTTAACTAAAATGTAAAACCAATTTAAACTATAAAACAAAAAACAAGCAAATGTATTTGCGGTTGAAAACATGCAAATGTATTTCTGATCAATGTTTACAAGACATGGAACAAAATTAGACTAACAAAACAGACAGCTGATAATAAACACACATTCACATCATCTGTCCTATCATCTGACTATTACAAATAAAAGGCAGGCATTTTCAACTGTGACATGTTGATGATTTTACCGTTACCTGGGAGATGGAAAAAGGTGTATAACACGGAGAATGGATAATGGTTTGGATTTTTTTTATGGTAATGAAAAAGTCAGGAATTCCATTTGAGAAATCTTGTAGACACCCTGCATAGCATTATTAATTTACAACCCAATAACTAATGGCATCTCGGTCTAGTAACAATCTCGCTTGGACTCAAACCAGCAACCTTTATATTTGAAGGCGAGCACTAAAAACACTTGTTAGATTTTAATCAGACAAAAGTGATGAAGAAGCTCCTTATAAAAGTACATAATTTCTCTTTAGTCAGTTTCCCACACTGTCGCTGTTTCAGGAGGACTCACGGATCTGATCATTGGAATGCCACACAGGGGAAGATTGAACTTGCTGATAAACTTACTTAAACTCCCTCCAGAACTGTTGTTCCACAAACTGTCGGGCAAATCTGAGTTTCCCGACACAGCAAAGGCCTGTGGTGATGGTGGTGATGTTATTAGCCATCTCAGTGAGTGTTTGTATTCATATTCATCATAGAGTAACATTTTATTCTAGAGACACGTATAAACTATGAATAAGAATTTTGAAATTAATTATTTAAAATTTTTATATTTCCGCAAGCATTAGATCATATTTTTAACCTATATATATATCTGTCCTAGGCCATGTGACCCATCTGTTCGGAAAAGCTTAGGTCAATGACATAAAAATGTCAATGTGTTGTTAACAACTCACAACTTTAGATGTAACATGTTTCTTAATTCTTCTTTTCTTCATACTATAAGATCTAGAATTGGTTAAATTGTGTTTATTTTATATAGTGATGTTTTTCCCATTATTTCCATATAATCATCTTAGTTTGTTATGCACACTAAAACTACAGTAGAGTCCCGATAGTACGAAATGGTTGGGACCGTACCCATTTCGGATTACCGCATATTTAGGATTAAAAGTTTTTTTCTTTTTAGTTTTTTTGTCTTAGGACGCTAGGCATGAGCCCGGATTTTTTTTCACATTACTTTAGGCTAGACCTAGGGGTTGTGGCATTATCACTTAGATAACATCCATTGATGATTTGGCGGGATAGGAATTCAGGACGAAAATGAAAAATGTTTACTAAAAAAATGGTGAAATATTTACTAAAATACTCTATACAACAAGTCTATCTTGCCCGGCCGCTACAGAATACTTCGACGAGGTACATCTAACTGTCGTTACACACAGTTTCGGCTTTTCCCAATGGGTGACAGCACATATTGGGTCATCACTTTTTGTGTCTACAATAAATTGCATTAATTTTGTCACGCTACGGTGAGTTTCGACTTTCTCCAATAAGTTACAGCACTATCAGTAAAAAAATGTTGAGTAAAAAATTAACAAAAAAATTAAAGTAAAAAAAAATTATTTTTCGGTTTTGGATTAAGCAGACTTTTGGATTACCCGGACTGTACTGACTTTTAGCAACTAGGTTACTTAATACTGTTGTTTATTTATGTCTACTGTACTTTGTTTCATTTACAGCTCTTTCAGTAAGCTCTACATGATAAATATTTCTAAATTACATTATATGCAATTTTTCAGTTTCCAACACAGAGTTAGATATTGATGGCATTCCACTTCAAGTAACTACTCTGCACAACCCTTCTCATTTAGAGGTGCGTCTTTCATATTTTTAAAATTTTTGACTCGTTGACTATTCTGTTTGTGTCAAATATATCGTAAACAATAAGTACCCCAAAAATTAAACAAAAACAAGTTGATTTACCTGTCCAAACAATTTGTAGCTTCTTAAAACGAACAATTTTGCCTCGGATATATTGGCTCCCTGATTTTGTTTATTATCACACAGGGAAGAGTCTATGTGATAATTTATTGGCAGCAATTGATGTCAGCAATGTAATGCAGCATTTAATTGCTGCCAATAAATTATTACATAGACTCCTCCCTGTGTGGTAATATAAAAAAAAATCAGAATGAATATATCTGAGGCAATATAGTTTATTATAAGAAGCTAGTTTATATTGGTCAAACAGGTAAATCAACTTGTTAACTTATTTGTTTTTAATTAGCCTGCTCATAATATTAAGTTCTTTACGGGGTTTGTTTGATAATCGAGGTACTGTTTTGAAGTTTGACTAATCCTAAACTTCAGAGCTGTCATCATCTAGTTATGTTAGTGAACCTCCATTATAAGTTTTATGCTCATGAAATATTTGTTTTAATATTGAATTAATGTAATTTAATTTGTGTGTCATTGGTTTTCAATTCGAGTTAGTCAATAAGGTTATAAATTTGGACTTGTTTCCCAGGTACTCTTCTGATTGAAATAGGTAGACCTATGTGCTGTCATTCAACCTCGTATAATAGCAAATTGACAATCAAGAGAGTTCATGGTTTGTCAAGAAGCCCTTTTGCTGTGGATACAATTGTACTTATTGTTTAGTTTTATAAATGATTTTCACCTTTCTTCCAGGCAGTAAATCCGGTGTCTGTAGGGAAAACTCGATGTCGTCACCTAGAACTTGGAGAGGGAGGGTATGGAGTTGGAAGTTGGTCTGACAAAGTTCTTAATTTACAGGCAAGTTTTGCAACATATAGTTTCAATTTGATTGAATTATAAATTCTCTGTGACAACAACGCACTCTTGGGTTTGTAGTTCTGAGTTCATGAATATGAATGCAAGGTGAGTGTGAATGAAGTGAGATATTCTGTGCAGCTTTGTTAACCCTTTGAGCCCCAAGTGCCGATATATCGGCATGTCAATATTGTGCTGAAAATGACACAGTGCCGATAAATCGGCACCCCAAGGTCATGAGCAGAAAGACAATATGCCGATATATCGGCCATCTACTATTTTATATAGTACAGCGCTATTTTAACGTATTTTGTGTATCAGAAAACGTCATTGCGTAGCCAAAGCATAAATAAAATATATTACAAGTAATATTTTGTCAATTTTTATTTTATATAGTATTTATTATTGTTTCTAAAACGATATCGGCAGGCTGTGTCGTCTGTATCGCTCAGCTGTCTCATGAGTCAGCAACTCTGTTGTTTGTTGTTGTTTGTTATTTGAGTAACTGCCGGTGTTTGTTATTGTTTTTTTACGAGGATACCGTCATTTTTACTACAGATTTGTGTTGTTTGAAGTTCATTTCAAAAGTTTTATTATTCTTTTAGTGAGTTTATCAAAACATCATAATGGTAATCAACTTTAAACTTACGTCTGTAACTGCATAATTATTTGAGTGCATGCTATAGCCCTTGCATGGACATGGAAACCTATTTTCATAACTAACTAACTAACTAACTTAGGCCTAGTTCCTTTCTTTAAGGGGATACGCCACTATCTGTAGGCCATATTTTAAATTTTTTTTACATTTTCCAAAAGTTGCATTTTTAGATAGGTCATTTAAATGTGAACATTTAGCTAAAATTGTTTGCCAATCTGACAACTCCTTCTAGTATAAAAAAAAATAAAATATAAAACGCCGCAACCAGCAATTTAACAAAATTTTGAACTATTTTTTTTTGTTCCTGATATGTACACTTTTAATTGTGTATCATAATTATGTATTATGAAGGTATAAAGTAGGGTACATTTATGTAAAACAAAATAAGTACTTTGCTATTTTTATATATAATATAAAATAATAAATTAGTGTAGTTATGGGAATTTTTCTCCTGCCAACCACCTGTTACATCACCTGCGATTATCTCAATACCGTGTTTTTTAGGTTATTATTGTACAAAAGTTTGAATAACTCCGTTAGTACTATACTTATAGTATTCAAATTTTCACCAGACCTTCTTTATATAGTAATAAAGGATTTTGTGTATAGTAAGCCCTATAGCATTACATTTACTAAAAATATTTATGTTTACGCAAAAATTTTAAATATTTTTTTCAGCTTTTTTATATTTTGAATAAAAGGTGTCCTAAAAATTGGGTTTTTTTAGTTACCATAACGATTATACACAGAATTACTCATTATTTCATCCTGAATCAGGAAATAAATAGAATATGTCATTCTGATCAGTAGTTGAAAAGTTATTCTCAATAACGAATTCTTAAAAATTTTGGTGAAAAAAAACTAAAAACGCATATAAATTTAGTAAATAAGTTATAAATTCAATATTTTTGTACCTAAATCTTCTAACTAAGTCTAGTATAAACAAAATATACTAACTAGGTTGACAAAAATAAAATAATAAAAAAAAAGTTGGAGATAGTGGCGTATCCCCTTAAGTTCTTTATCCTTTATTTCTTGCATGTTGACTGTTTTTATTTGTCTAAAATATGAGTAAAAAAAGAACTAGGGCAGAATCTCCTGTTAGTGAAAACACTCTGTTGTGTAACATTCAAGAAGCAGGTTTGAATGTATATTCTGCCGACAAGAACAGTGATGACTCTGACTTCAGTGACAATATTGCAAGTTCTGATGCTGATTCATCCTCCTCAGAACTAGTTGACGACACGGATGAAGACCCGACATATAGCCCGGAAAATAGTGGTAGGCCTAGACTAGGTTTTTTGCAAAGACCGATCAGATCACCTCATATGTTTTCCTCTGATGAAGAAGACATTGATGATGTCCTTCCTCTGGCAGATTTGCCTCAAGAAGTAATTGATTTTAATTTAGGCCAACCATCAACTAGCAGTGACACTAGGTTTGGCTTAGATAGGCCTATGCCTACAGAAGAAGCTAGACCTACTGATGCTATACCAGATTTGCCAACAGATACCGGTACTCAAACTGCTAGGGATTGTGCTAGGCCTAGGCCTAGAGGCAGGGGTTCACACAGAGGGAGAGGAAGAAGTCAGGCTCAAGCAAATCGTAGTAGGCGAAGACCTGTTGAACCTGAGTCCAGTGACTGGGATGAACTCGAGGAGGATAATGATCCGGGTTACCAGCACAACTTCACTTTCAATGAAGTCCCAGGTCCTAAGCATTGCCCACCCAGAAACTCCTCGCCAATTACCTATTTCTCTCTGTTTTTTACTACTGAATTGATAGCAAAATTTGTAGTAGAGACAAACAGATACGCTACAAATTTCTTGCGATCTGCTGAACATGGCTTGTCACCTCAGAGTACATTGAGATCTTGGGTAAATTTAACCTCTGAGGAGTTCAAAGGCTTCCTTGCTGTTATTATAAACATGGGCATAATCCGGAAGCCTTCAATCAGAAGCTATTGGAGCCAGCCATCGTCCCTGTCCACTCCTTGGTTTGCAAAAATGTTTTCTCGAACACGGTTTGAACTTATCTTAAAATTTTTTCATTTGGTTGATGGCAGCAAACTTGTGAAACATGGCGAACCGGGCTATGACCCATGCGGAAGATTTCAACCACTCATCGACCATCTGAACCGGTTAGCCAAGTTTTACTATGTACCCTACCAGAAACTATCTGTCAATGAGTCGTTAGTGGGGACAAAAAAGCGGATTGGCTTGACCCAATACCTCCCAAAAAAAAACATCACAGGTGGGGAGTGAAGCTGTGGGTACTGTGTGACGCGCTAACCCATTACTGCATGGCACTTTTTTGCTACAAAGGTGCCAAATACAGAGAAAATGATGAAGAAACCACTGAGCATGGCCTGGCATTCTCTGTAGTCAACAAACTAATGAACATCGCCAACTGTTTGAACAAAGGCTTTCATCTATTTTTGGATAATTTTTTCACTACTCTTCGCCTGGCTAGATACTTATATTCTAAATTAACTTGGCTTACAGGAACTGTTAGAGTTGACAGAGTAGGTGTGCGCACTGTGCTACGGGGGAAATATGCTGTTGGACAAAAAAAATACATTCGAAAAGGACCCGCCTTGTACATGGCCTACCGAGAGAAACCGACCAACAAATCTCAGTTTATTCTGTTATCAACCGATAGCAAGGCAGAAAATGTAAGATATACAAAAATGAGAAGTAGGAAAGTAATTGTAAAGACTAAGCCTAGAATAGTCCATCAGTACAACAATGGCATGGGGGGCATAGATGGTACTGATCAAATGTTGTACACTTACCTTGATGAGCGACATTCGATGAAACCTTGGAAGAAAGTGATTTTTAACATATTTGGCCGCATGATGCTAAATGCATATGTTTTGTACAAACTTAACACCGAAAAACCAATGAGCCGTGCCTCTTTTATCACAGCTGTGGTGGATGAACTAGCAAATTCTTGGTTCGAAAAGAAATACGGAGTTGCCGGTAGAGGTGGGGGTGACGCAACAGTTGGAAAAGGGTTTGGGTTGGAAAAAGTTCCTGATAACAAGGAAAAGAACTGTTCTGTATGCAGTGGAAAAAAAAACCCAGATGGAAAAAGGAGAAGAGCGCGCACTATGTGTTGCTTTTGTAAAGCAGGACTGCATGCGGAGTGCTACAATCGCCACAAATGCAACTAAACGTTAACATTTGGATTTGTAAATACTGTAAATAGCCTTTTTTAATAATTTTATAAACTAGTGTTAGTTGAATACTATTTTCTTCTTTTCTGAGGTCTTTCTCTGATACAGCACATAACAATTTTTAAGACATTATGTGAGTTATTGGTGTTATTTCCATTTACAAACTAAAACTTTTGGTGTTACGGAACATGGTGAAAAAAACTTTTTGGTGAGTAAAACAAAATATTTGTATCAGATATATTGTTAAGATTCTTAGTCTTAGGTCTGTTCCATTAGTTTCTTTCAATTTGATATGCATCTCCTACATTGATACTTGTATACTATAATAAAACATGTTTGTTGCGGTAACTAGGCCGATAACGGATATTGAAGTATTTATCATAATATACCATAAGTTGGTCATTTATAAATATTTTTGCACCAAATCTTTAGGTATTATTTAGAAATGTATAGTGACTAATAAAAATGCAATAGGATGTGCCTCCTCACTTATTCACTTATTTTTTATACATCTCAAAATAAAAAAATAAAAAAAGTTTTTATTTTTTTATTTTATTTTTTTATTTTTGTCAACTAAAATTTTTATTTTTTATTTTTATTTTTATGCCAAATTGTTGCCATAGCAGTAAGCTAAAAAATAATGCCAAAATAATTTTTCTATCTCAATATTAAATAAAGTTATAAACAAATTAATACAATGCTGTAAAAACCGCCTATTTTGGCCTGTCATTCCCAGTACTGACCATGCAGTATAGGCATGTCACCTCCAAAAAAATCGCAAAAATTTTTTTGGGGCCCAAAGGGTTAATGACCAAGACCAGCTGTCAGCATTTGTATATAGTTTGAAACCAGTTATTTCCCTTACTCGCTCACTATAAATTTCTCACACAATATCAGAAATAGTAAAACGGCTGTACATCGTGGTTACAAAAATAATTAAAATAAACAAAACAGTTGTTAGAGAGTTTTTATTACAAGCATTTTTGAATGTCTTGAGAGTTTTATTAAGATATATATGTTTTGGCCAGTAGAATATCAAGTCTTGATTCACAGGGAAGACAAGAGTTTTCTCAATATTTAGCTTATCAAACTTACATATTTTAAAATAATAATTTAGAATTCTCAATATAAATCAACACATTCACTACCAGGACTCACAGGGCCCCTCATATCTGAAGTGTGATGGCTGGTAGCCAATGTGTCAATATTTTATGTAGGAAATGAAACAATAATGTTAGATTTTACCTAAGGATGGTTTATTTTTGAAAGACATGTTTTTTAGGCGAGGTTTATTATACTGTATTGATCAGCTTGTGGGCTTCACTCACCTTAATTTGTTAATTCAGGACTCGTCAAATGTAACACAACGAAGACACAAACACACATACACGCACATAAAAATCGTCCTTGGATTAATTTACTCCGACGTTTCGCGGGACCAAGATAACGTCCCGCTTCCTCAGGGAATTAAAACTTTGTTTCTCTCGCGTACACGAGCCGAACGCCTAACCACGACTGCCGGATCAGCTGTTCCAGTAGAGGGGGGAGGGCAGGGGGGTTGGTGGACGTACTGGTTATTGTAGATAAGCCTTTGACATCCTTGGCCTTGTCTCTCAGCTGTTCTAGTTCTTCTTTAATTATTGGTAAATAAACAGTACTAACATCCACCGATGGTCGTGATAGAGGCTCATCTTCAATAGCCATAAATAGCGACTCTGCCATGTTCCGTTTCCTCCAATCCGGTTCTTTGTATAGAATTTTGCTCGAATCCCATTTTACTGTATGATTTGTCTCTAATACATGTTCACAGATTCTCGAGCCATACCTATCCTTATTTTTAACCTTTTTAACGTGTTCGTTAATCCTCACCGTCACTGGCCTTGACGTTTGCCCTACGTAGTTTCTACCAATTTTCAGGTTTTAGTTTGGTGAGACGGCTACGAATTGTGTCTTTACTTTTGAAAACTGTACGAATTTTGTATTTTGAATTTATGCGCCTTAATTTTTCTGAGACATTTTTAATATAGGGTATACAAAAAGTAGTAATGGGTTTTTCCTCAGTGGTGGGTTCCAATTCTCTGGAGTTATTTACTTTGTTTAGGGCCTTATTAAAAATAGATTGGGGATAGCCACAGTTGTTTAAATGTTGTTTTATACTGTCTAGTTCTATTTTAAGTATGCTGTCGTTGCTGCAAATAGATTTAGCCCGTTTGATAAGACCGATAACCAAGCCTGTTTTGACATGAGTTGGGTGATTAGAAGCAAAGTTTAGATATTGTCCTGTAGCAGTGGGTTTTCGGTAGACGCTAGTAAGCCAGCCTTGATCAAATTTTTCAACTAGTACGTCTAAAAATGGTAACCTATTGTCTTTTTCAAGTTCAATAGTGAATTGTATGGAGTCTAATTGATTATTTAGGTGGTCTTTAAATTTCATAAGCTCTTCCATTGAATCCTCCCACATACAAAACACATCATCTACATAGCGCAGCCAGATTCTTGGTTTGGTTTGAAATGATCTAATTGCATCCTGCTCAAATTTATCCATAAAAATATTGCTTAAGATGGGGCTTAGAACCCCGCCCATCGCCATACCCTGGGTTTGCTCAAAAAAATAATTTTCAACTTGAAAGTAGTTTGACTTAGTACAGACTGTTAGTAGTTCCATAATGTTGGATATGGGGATCTTAGTTTTATCTTCTAGATTGACGTCGTTTTCAAGCTTTTCCCTCACAATTGTCAAACAAGGGTCGATCGGAACGTTAGGGAATAAGTTCGTCACATCAAAGCTGACGAGGATAGTGCTATTGCTGGGTTTGTGTGGGTTTATTTTGTCAATAAAATCTTTTGAGTCTCTTATAAAACTATCAGACTATGCTTCAAATCACCCAACTCATGTCAAAACAGGCTTGGTTATCGGTCTTATCAAACAGGCTAAATCTATTTGCAGCAACGACAGCATACTTAAAACAGAACTAGACAATATAAAACAACATTTAAACAACTGTGGCTATCCCCAATCTATTTTTAATAAGGCCCTAAACAAAGTAAATAACTCCAGAGAATTGGAACCCACCACTGAGGAAAAACCCATTACTACTGTTTGTATACCCTATATTAAAAATGTCTCAGAAAAATTAGGGCGCATAGATTCAAAATACAAAATTTGTACAGTTTTCAAAAGTAAAGACACAATTCGTAGCCGTCTCACCAAACTAAAACCTGAAAATGAACAGCAAAACACAAAAAATATTATCTATAAAATTCCTTGTTCGTGTGGTAGAAACTACGTAGGGCAAACGTCAAGGCCAGTGACGGTGAGGATTAACGAACACGTTAAAAAGGTTAAAAATAAGGATAGGTATGGCTCGAGAATCTGTGAACATGTATTAGAGACAAATCATACAGTAAAATGGGATTCGAGCAAAATTCTATACAAAGAACCGGATTGGAGGAAACGGAACATGGCAGAGTCGCTATTTATGGCTATTGAAGATGAGCCTCTATCACGACCATCGGTGGATGTTAGTACTGTTTATTTACCAATAATTAAAGAAGAACTAGAACAGCTGAGAGACAAGGCCAAGGATGTCAAAGGCTTATCTACAATAACCAGTACGTCCACCAACCCCCCTGCCCTCCCCCCCTCTACTGGAACAGCTGCTCCGGCAGTCGTGGTTAGGCGTTCGGCTCGTGTACGCGAGAGAAACAAAGTTTTAATTCCCTGAGGAAGCGGGACGTTATCTTGGTCCCGCGAAACGTCGGAGTAAATTAATCCAAGGACGATTTTTATGTGCGTGTATGTGTGTTTGTGTCTTCGTTGTGTTACATTTGACGAGTCCTGGATTAACAAATTAAGGTGAGTGAAGCCCACAAGCTGATCAATACAGTATAAGGATGGTTTACCCCACTTATCAATTACAACTTGTATTAGCGAATTTCCAATATAATAAGGGAATAAGCTATTACCGTAGTACTCATGGCAAGACCTGGACTCGGGACCGATTTACTTTTTCGTTTTGAGGTCCCTAGAGGCCAAAAACACCATCCGTTCAAATTCATATATATATATATATTTATATATAGGCTATATATGTGTCCGTTAGCATGATAACTCGAGCAAAAATGATCCGATTTTGATGAAATTTGGTATAAACGTGTAAACCTACATTTATTCGAACGAGTTCGCGAACCAGCATGATCGGACTATGGGAACGGGGGTTTATGGGGGGTTTTATGGGGTAAAAATAGGTTTTTCCCATTTTTGACTATAAAAACACTAAATTTCACAATTTCTTTCCAAACCATTTTGTAGAGCTTAAAAAAACAAATAATTTAGTATATTGAAGCGTTATTGTGCGCCTAGGCTAATGGTTACGGAGAAAATTCCAAAAAATTGTAAATTTAAAATTCCCATGTTATTCTTATGGAGAATAATTCAACTGTTGTAGTTTGCTTGTTTATGAACATATTTTGAGAAAATATGTAAAATACATTAATTTCTTACTAAACTATTAACATTTTACAACAAAAAACGCCTTTTTACCCTCCCTATTGCAGCAAACCTAAGTACTCGTTAAACTAATTCTATTTAAATAGGGAAGAAATGTGATATTTTTCAGGAGGCATTTTAGTGTCAATCCAATCAGGCAAATGGAAATTCGCTTAGTCTGCAGGTTTGCTGTGGCGGGGGTATTTTTAACTCTCACATGAAGTAACGTCAAATGTCCAATTAACATTTTCTTTAAATACTGTCAAATTTTCAAGTAAGTTAATTTAAATTTTTAAAAGTACTGTCCTAAGCCTGTGAGACTTAGGTACTGTTTAAAAACATGGATAAATGTGCAGATTCATGGAGACGGAGCCATCGTAGGACAGGGCATCAACCAAGAGACTCTGTTCCTGGGCAAAATCCCTCATTTTGAGGTCGGAGGGAGTGTTCACCTGATAGTCAACAATCAGGTGGCCTTCACCACCCCACCTGAGCGAGGCCGCGGCACGCCGTACTGCTCGGACATCGCCAAGATGATAGCTGCACCTGTGGTCCATGTCAATGGTAACATGCCTCAGGTAAACTATCATCTGTTCAAGCCGGCAACTAGTCATAATTAAGAAAACCACTATCACCATCATTATCATTTTAGCAGTGCTTGTTTCTTGGGTTTGCTAATAGGTAGTCAATAAAATATGTACAACACTTGACATGTATATTTACACTTAACAAGACGGTAAACATGTATAAAAGATGGCTTGTGGTGATGGATATCCATAAGACACCATCAGACAGGTGAATGACAAGAATCTCGTTACAACGTAAACTGACACTAGTGTACCTGCTGCTCGAATTTGAGCAATTGCGAAGTATTACAAATTACAGGCATTATTTTAAAACTAATAACAGTCATAATTTCCGATGACTTTAAAAGAGTTGACTCAAAGATTATAGAAATACTCACGATTTCTTCTACTTGTTGGAAATGCAGCACAGTTTTAATTCTGTTTTCTTTTTAGTATATCAAATCGTCCAGGCTTTCTTGCTTTTTTTCATTGTAATATTTACGCCAATCCAAATTCAAATAGTAAATATTTCATTTCATCCAAGTCAGTAAATGTTTGTAGCACATTTTCTTAAATTGCAACTAAAATATCTACACACAGCAATTAAATTATCCAGCTGATCATAATTTAAACAAATATGTTCTTCCTAAGGATAACATGGGTACTTTAAAAGTAGAGGTGTGCGGATATCCGAAAAATCGGTTCGGTTCGGATACGGATATCCGAACCGAGCCCAAATTTGATATCCAACTTTTTAGGATTGACAACATATTTTGACGGTTTGGACAGAAAACTAAATCTTCATAACCATCATTAGTTTCCCAGGACAAAATTACAGCAATACGTTTGCAACGACCTAACAGCAAACGACAAAGAAGCGGTATGACGTAATACCGATATCTAGTTTAGTCGTTATCGGCTGTTTTGCTTTACGATTAGATTCATCTGGTTCTAACAGACATAAAGCAGAAATGGTCAAGTGAAAGTCAACTCGTGCTTGTCTCCTGATACTAGGGGCGCTGCGTAATAGTTTTTTTTTACAGTACTGTTTTAAAGTAGAAAAATCTAGCCTACTACTGTGCTGTTACTTAAACAATAGATTTAATGTTTCTCCAAAAAAAAAAAAAAAAAAAAAAAACAATAGAAGCAATAGAAAGGCAACACAATAGAAGGGTGGGAGGGGTTGGGCAATGACCTCGAAAGGAGCGCGGGTAGCAACAGTGAGTCGAGTAGGACGGGAGGGAGGAAGGGGTGGGTACAACCTTGAAGCTATATATATATATATATATATATATAGACTTTGCACTACTTCCCTAAACCACAGAACACATATTACTATAACCCAGAATGCCAACCGCATGGTAAAAAGCATTAAGTGATTTGAGAGAGCTTTGGCTGTCAATCGTAGGCAGCGCCACCAGCGTTGCCATGCACTCAGCATAGCAACGCTGGTGGCGCTGCCTACGATTGACAGGCAAAGCTCTCTCAAAACACTTAATGCTTTTTACCATGCGGTTGGCATTCTGGGTTATAGTAGTATGTTTTCTGTGCCTAAACCTGGTGATGGTGAGTGGTATTCCAATCACAGGACAAGATACAACGTTGTTTTTTGGGTATTCATTGCCCGGTTTGACTTTGGATCATCTTATTGTGTAGAAACTTTGAATAATCAAAAATAAAATTAGAACTAACCACGATTATTTAGCATTGATTGTGTATATTAAATGATTATATTAAACATTAGACTGGGACGGGTGGCGTCGTCCTGTAATCCAGCTACTAGGAGGTCACGAATTGTGGATATTTATAGGCATGCACTGTGGATGCGATACTCTCTGGTGTGGATTAACGTCCGCACAAGTGAGTACTACAACTATCCGCAGTACTATCCTGATAATTAGACCAATTCGTATATACCAAGGCGAAAATGGTGTTTGGATTCCACTATAAATTGTAGGTCCCTTAGTTGCCATTAGCTGTATGGGCTATTAATTAACAGCTGTGTCTAAGGAATATGTCGGCCTTAGTCACTAACAAGACTACAAGATCGCGCCACTCATCCTACATTCATCTCCATTCATACTTAGCTTAAAATACCTATTTTGTATGGTCGCCATTTCATCGAAAAGTATTAAAGTATATTAAATGATAGGGACCAGACGAAATATATAAACTTTTGTCATGATTTGAATTTCAACATCAAAATACAATATTGCACAATCATAATATTTTAGGTCATTGACCTTTATTTTGCATCCGGTATTGCTGTTTCAGAAGAGAAGCACGTTGATAAATTATAAATTGATATTCCCTTAGTTAAAAAGAATTATTTTTAAAAACCAATAAAAAAATCATAAAATCTTACATAAAGATAATAACAATAACAGCAATTGTAAAAAGGGTATAAAGATAACAACGTCATTATTCTTTCTCTTAGTTCTTCTATTTCTTGGGTTTCCCTTCATCACGCATTCAACAAAATGCCATGGTTACCCATGTCGTTATCAGCTTTTGTGACATTGCGCACAGCAGAGGGTAAAACTTGACGAAAATCGGTTAATTTTTACATATTATTTAATTACCTATGCACTTTATTGGTCCTGCAATCGGTGCTTTATTAGTATAATAATCGGTCAAATAGGCCGATTTTTGTCAAATTTTACACCAAATTTATTGCAATATCAAGGGTAATATCAATAAAACAATTATTACCAAATATTTTTATTCATTTAAAAGATTGATTTATGGTATTGGGTTCCCAACTTAGTGCAGCCGAGCGGCACTAATGGCGGTGGACAATAGACGGCTTATCAGACCCTCCTCTCCCCAGTGGTCTGGAGAAAGTTTGTAAAAAAACTATTGCACAAGCGTGACTCTACCTTGGGCTGCTTCAACTTTAATTTTGTCAAATGAACTGTGATGTTTCAAAAGCAAAAACAATAATTTGGGACTATACTATACTGCATAACAATAATGGACTGCAATTGTTGAACATCATACAATCCATTTTTATTTTTAACAAACTAAGAGTATGATTCAAATACAATTTTAAAAATTATTTTGGTATTTTGCTTGGGGTAATGAAGTTATATGTAGGCTAGTGTAATTCTCAGTTCATCAAGGTTCTACTGAATTATGTTTGGCAGTGAATAAGTGTAGAATGAAATTTATAAATTTAGGGATACACACCTTTTACAGAGTTATAAAGCCTAATTGCCGTGGACTAATTAACTTGCCGCAGGCATTAGTGATGTTTTGTAAACTTGGTAAACTCGCAGAATGCCACTTAAGCCCAATAATCCGTTCCAAAAACGTAAGGAAATACAATGTGAAAATAAACTTGAGATAGAACTCCTTGTCTTGAGAGAACCAGGAAACAACATAAAACATAACCTCAAGTAAACAAGCTCAAACCTTTGACATCAGTCCTGCTGAGCTAAAGTATTGTGTGAAGATTTTCGGCCGCTAGTGTACTTAATTCAAGCAACCAACTTTTGAAAATAGATGTTGTGAATTGTGATTTTAAAGAGAGAAACTGTGGACGTGGCTAATTTGAAATTCTATAATTCAAAATCATCATTTCAGTTTATTTACACAGCTTTACAGTGTTTTATAGGTTAAAAATACATATGTAGCTTATTATTAAACACGCCGAACTATCCGAATCCGAAAATATCCGAATCCGAACCTCCCAATATCCAAACCGATCCGAACCGAGCCTCAACTATCCGATCCGAAATGAAATTTCACTATCCGCACACCTCTATTTAAAAGCCACTGTGACAGAGCCCAAGGGATTTTTCAAAAATGTAAGGTCAGTTTTCAAATCTACACACCTAGACAAACATACCTATATAATACCTATATAATACGTACCTATATAATATGTGGGGATAAATCTTAAAACATAAAATCTTTATTGTTTACAATGTTTCATGTAGCGTATGAATAATATAGACTAGTAAACACGTTGCTCGAAATCGAGCAATTGCAAAGAAGTAATGTAGTTATTAGCTATTTAAAAACAGATGAAAGTCATCATAATTTCCGATGAGTTTAAAAGACTTTGAATTGAAAAATAAATAACAGCAATTAAATTATACAGCTGATGAAAATATAAACAATTATTTTCTCCAAAAGGATAACATGGGAACTTTAAAAGCCACTGGGGCAGAGCCCAAGAGACGTTTTCAAAAATGTAAGGTCAGTTTGCAAATCTACGTGACATGCTCTTTCCAATGAGATGTCAATGGATAAAATCGGTTAAGAAATGGCGGAGGAGTTCAATCGACAAAGTTTCATGTAGGTAGCGTATTAATTATATCGATTTCTCTTAAATTAGGACAGATTTTCCAACCGTCACAACCGCTCTCTTGTTCACTGCTATTTAAAAATCTTTAAATTTTTGAACCCAACGTTCAGCTTTACTTGTGTATCTTATTATGTATGGCTCCAAATCAATACGCCATCATCAAAAATAAGGCAATTAAGTCTGTTCTCATCACTGCTGCTATGATCTGTTTACTTACTTCATAATAAAAAAGCTGACTATGCAACTAAAAGTTTGTTTAGTTAAAATTGTCATGGAATGGGGTTTACTATACGTAAACATTTTAATTTTTTTAGGATGTCATCAGAGCCACACAGCTGGTTACAGAATACCAACGCAAGTTTCGAAAGGATGTGTTTCTCGATCTCAACTGTTACCGTCTCAGAGGTCACAATGAACTGGACGACCCAACATTCACCAATCCAAAGCTTTATGAAGTCATTAGAAACCAAAGGTATGTTACAGTAGTGTATCCTCAATTGTTTGGTACAAGACGTTCACTTTCTATAAAATAAGCTGCAGAGTTTTTTTGCATGTTCGAAGTCAATCATTTGTAGGTGATGCAAAAGACTATATTCAATATACCATGTTGAATTGAACAACTCAATCAACATTTTGGGGTTAAACACTATCAAAGACATCATTACTAGATGCCCTCTTAACCAGGAAACTTGGGACCAAACCAGTTGGATTACGATTAGTCTAGTTGAATTATAAGTCTTAAATGCTTTGACTAAAGTTTCTATTGACAACATGTGTTTATTCAGACTCATTCCATCTTTTACATAGTGATCTTGATTTGAAATAAATATCAAATAAATAGATCATCGATAACAAAGGTTAAATAAATATTTAAAATACCCCCACCACAGCAAACCTGCAGACTAAGCAAATTTCCTACTTGAAGCAAATTTCTACCTGGTTGGATTTATACTAAAATATTCCCTTCAAATTGTCAGATTTATTTCCTATTTAAATAGCATTAATTTTAGTGAGTAATTAGTTTTGCTGCTACCGTTAAGGTATTAAGGTGGGTTTTTTTATCGAAATGATGATAGCTTAGTATGAAATAAACAAAATTGACAAATTTGATTAAAATTAGTGATGGGCGGATCCAAGAAAATGTCGGTACCGGATCCGGATCCGGATCTTGAAAAATTCGGATCCGGATCTTCGGATCCGGATCCAGATTCACACTGTCATAAGGGCGGGTTAAAAAAAACGTAATTAACAGAATGCCAATTTAAATCATACTTTTATTATTTTTTATCACGAAGCATCGGGTGAGATTAAAATACTAACGGGATATTTTTGAGACAAAATTATAGGCCGTTAGCTTATCATCCAGGTACAAAACTAAAAACTAGAGGTGTGAAGATATCCGAAAAATCGGGTCGGATTCAGTTCGGAAAGATACATGCCATTGCCATATATGTTATTTATTAAGAGACAAACACTGAAACATGGCCTTGCCATATAAGTTATTTGCACCAGGAGACAAACACTAAGACATGACCTTGCCATATAAGTTATTTGAATTAAGAGACAAACACTGAGACATGGCCTTGCCATATAAGTTATTTGCATCAAAAGACAAACACTGAGTCATAACCTTGCCATATAAGTTATTTGCATCAAGAGACAAATATTGAGTCATGGCCTTGCCATATAAGTTATTTGCATCAAGAGGCTAACACTGAGACATGGCCTTGCCATATAAGTTATTTGCATCAAGAGGCAAACACTGAGACATGGCCTTGCCATACATGTTATTTGCATCTAGATACAAACATCGAGACATGGCCTTACCATATAAGTTGTTTGCATCAAGAGACAAACACTCGGGGAAAAAACGGTCTTGTACATGGATACAGACAGCTTTGTGTTAGTAAAAAAATCGGGGTTGTACAGTGATACAGACAGATTTGTGTTGGTAAAAAATCGGGGTTGTAGAGTGATACATACAGCTTTTTGTGTTAGTAAAAGATCGGTGTTGTAGAGTGATACAGACAGCTTTGTGTTTAGTAAATAAATCGGGGTTGTACAGTGATACAGACAGCTTTGTGTTTAGTAAACAAATCGGGGTTGTACAGTGATACAGACAGCTTTGTGTTAAGTAAACAAATCGGGGTTGTACAGTGATACAGACAGCTTTTTGTGTTAGTAAAAAATCGGGGTTGTACAGTGATACAGACAGCTTTGTGTTAGTAAAAAAATCGGTGTTGTACATTTATACAGACAGCTTTGTGTTGGTAAAAACTCGGGGTTGCACAGTGATACAGTTTTTTGTCTTAGTAAAAAATCGGGGTTGTACAGTGATACAGACAGCTTTGCGTTAGTAAAAAAAATCGGTGTTGTACAGTGATACAGACAGCTTTGTGTTGGTAAAAACTCGGGGTTGCACAGTGATACAGACAGCTTTTTGTCTTAGTAAAAAATCGGGGTTGTACAGTGATACAGACAGCTTTGTGTTAGTTAAAAAATCGGTGTTGTACAGTGATACAGACAGCTTTGTGTTGGTAAAAAATCGGGGTTGTACAGTGATACAGACAGCTTTGTGTTAGTAAAAAAATCGATCCGGAATTTTTGGGATCCGATCAGGTGCCGGTTCTAGCTCGGATCCGGCGGATCCGGTAGTCCGATATCCGGTTCCGACCATCACTAATTAAAATATATCGATAAACAAGCCAACTACAACAGTTTATTTATTCTCCATAAGAAAAAACATGGGTATTTTAAATTTACAATTTTTTTAATTATCTCTGTAACCTTTACGCATACAACAACGCTTCAATATACGAAATTGTTTATTTTTTTAAGCTCAACAAAATGTTGTTCAAAGGTTTATTGCGGACATTTTCCATCACGAATGTAAAAAACAATACACAACGTTTCGGGATCTGGAATCTGATCCCGTCCTCAGGTGAAAAAAACTTAACTAACACATTACAACTAACAATACACAAACACCCAACCTAAGTTGGAATACACTACAGAGGGTAGTAGTGAAAAAGTCATGATACAACATGCAAATAATAACAAATCACAAAACACTATGATCTATAAAAGGTTTAACGTAAAAAACTTAAACAATGGAACACTAATAGCACCGTTCGTAATGACTCCACCAATGAGACTGAAACAACATGGCTGACCAATCGGAAACACGGAGACAACAGAAATGGCTTCCGGTCCCTGGAAAAGTAAAACCAACAAAATGGCGGAGCGATGTACGATGCCACAAGATGGGTGTTAATTCTGTTTATTCCTATCACGAGTTTTACTACGAGTTAACATAATGTGCAAATTTTGAGGAGAACTTGTTATTTCCCTATTTATTGAACAATTAAGTTCCCTATCCTTTAGTTCCTTGTTCAAAATGGGTAGCCAAAGTGGCCTGATTTCAACCGATGACTGACTTATTGGTTGGTCTGCTAATTTAATATATGAGGCTTCAATGAGTTTACGTTTGAAAAAATGAGGTTCCTTTTGGAAAATTTTTGCCTCTTCAAAAATCTTACGATGATTTTCAGACCAGCAATGATGAGCGATCTTAGATTTTTCCACTAAACCTTTTTTGGTGTTTTCTCTGTGTTCTTTGATTCTAATGTTCAACGGTCTTTTTGTCTCGCCATAGTAAGGCCTGGAACAATCATTGCAATTTATTCTGTAAACACAGTTTTTAGTATCCTGAGTGTCATTTTTGGGTTTTGTTTTGACGGGACTCTACCTAAGTGTGTTTTGTGTCCTAAACGCTGTTTGCACATTAAATTTCCTAGCAACCCTTCTGATTTTTTCCGACAGACCTGACACATACGGGATTGACATGTGGACGAGCTTTTCCTTGCGATTTTGTAAAAGTTCACGCGTAGCCCTATCTTTCTTGCATTTGTTCCTCAGTATAATGTTGTAAAAATTATTGGTCTATCATAGACACAAGTACCTTTAGAATTACATAACTGTATCTCTTCTAAGATAGTGTTAAGCTCCAAGATAGTGTTGAGGGGCATTGAAAGAATTGAATGTAATATAATTATATTTATTTTTGTCCCTATTTTTGTTTCATTAACAAAGATGTACATGCTCTACTTATGCAGCTCATGTGATGCATTTTTCTTGACAAAATGACCTCTATCATGTAAGTTAAGTTTGCATTTGCCAATAAAATATTACTCATAAGCCTTGAAGGACCGGCTTTGGCTAATGCACCAGCTGATCTTAATCAGTCTCATTTATACTTCAATATTCCTTCACTCATCTTCACCTTATAAAAACACAGCCTGCCATTTTGGTGTGGTATAAATAAATATAAACCTGTATTATAGTAATGGATGTGTCTAAAGGCTGAAAATCACACACTCGAATTGTTTAATATTATATGGCCACTTAATAGTTACATACTTTTCACAGAACTGTGCCTGATCAGTTTGCTGCGATATTGAAGGAAACAGGAGTGCTGAGTGAGGAAGATGAAAACCAAACACTAGACAACTACACTACTTGGCTCAACAATTGTTACAAGCAAGCAGATCAATACTCCCCTCCGGTAAATTAATGAGTATTATTCTGTAAATTTGTGAACAGTCTGAATATCCATTCCAACATTGGAAGGACTTGCATACAAATTTATCAATTTATACCATAAAAGGAAATAGCCCAAAGCTCAAATTTAAGCTGATATATTTTTACATGTTATGTATTTTTATTCTTTTTGGTGTCTAAACATCTCCACTTGGGAGAATAATTCAATAATCATCACCAGCGGTCGTGGGGAGATCATCTTTGCCTTCTGGGATCACTGCAAAATCCAAAATATCTTCCTCAATTACGGAAACATCATCACTGTCTTTTGTGGTCACGGAAGAATCATGAACATCTCCCTCTGCTGTGTGGACATCATCATTGTCGTCTTCCGCTGTCATAGAAACGTGATTGTGGTCTTCCGCGATCGCTTCAAAACCACGAAAATCTTCTGCGGCCGTGTAGATATCATACTTTGACTCCCGCGGTCACGGAAAAATCATTTTTGTCGTCCTCTATCGCGGCAAAATCATGAACATCTCCCGGGCTCTTAAGATATCATCATAAACTTCCGCGATTACAGAATTCGTCATCGTCGTCTTGTGTGATCAGTGCAAAATCATTTAACATTTCCCGCAGCTGTAAAGACGTAATTTATGTCTCCCGTGGTCACGAAAACGTCGTCGACTGCGATTGCGGGAAAATCATAAATAACCCCCCGCGGCCGTGTAGACGTCATCATCATATTCCACAATCGTGGCCATGTAGACGTCATCGGTGACTTCCGACTCCCGTGTCTTGGAACCGTCATCGTCTTCCACTCGTCACTTGACCACAGTATTCAAGATTAGGTCGCAATCACAGAAGGTTTGCATTTGGTGCAAGACCGCAGAAGGTGTGCATGATTTTTCCGTCATTGTGAAAAACGAGGATAAGAAAACGACCGCGAGAGACTTTTTGGACTTTGCTGCGATTACGGCTTCTGTCTTCTGCCTTCTTTAACATGAATTCTTATGATTTTGGCCTACTGTGGTTTTAGGTCTTTAAAAATATTTTGTTCTGTAAGCAGTTAGAATAAATGTAGTTTGGATAGTTGTAGTTCTCACACATTTGGGAAGAGTAAATATGTCCTATTGTTGTGGCAGGAGAGTTACTTCAAGTTGCAGTGGAGAGGGTTCACACAAGCCCCAGCTGCCATCACAGTGTGGGACACTGGCTGTGACATCAACCTTCTCCGCTACGTAGCCACCCAGTCCGTCACCTTCCCAGAACATTTTGTGAGTAAATCACCGACGCAAACGTAGTTTAGTTTCTACAATTACTAGGTGATTGCCATCTCTATAAATTATCATTTAAAGACTTTAACCGCTAAAAAGCATGTATTACCAACAATTTGCTCCACAAGCATGTACAATTGTGCATAAAACTTTAAAATTATGATGGCATGTCTACCCAGCCAATGGTGTCCTGATTATTAGCCGATCTGCTACTGTAAGTATAATGATTAAGCTTCAGGTATCATATTTTTTTGTTTGATTACTCAATTTTATTTTTACTGTTTCATGCAAACTCAAATCAGGCCATATTTCAGTTCCGGTAAGCGTTAGGATAGTTGATTTATTTTCAGGAATGTATTTAATTTTTAGTGATTATAAACTTATGTGAACTGCCTTATTTATAGGTAAATTCCACACTTAATATCCCAGCATTGACTTAAGGATTTGTATGCAGTACTTTTTAATATGTTCAGCAAATAAAATAACAACACACTCATTGTTACTAATAATAAACTGATAAAAACATTTCAACCGACAAGGAAGCAGTATTCAAAAAACCTGTAACGTGCATATAATAGTTTTAATCTGGATCTAAGTGTAAAGCTGTGAGTGGAAACTCTGAAATCTTCCTGTTCATCATCAAATTGAAGATCCAGTCATCTGCAGTTATGCTTCAAGCATGAAAAACAACTGAAGCTCCTTTTCACAAATATCAGCCTTTGAACCACATTCAAACAGTAAAACTTTGGTGTATATACTTACATTTATGCAATACAAAATATTACTATTGCACAACTAGTATAACTCAAAAGTTGTCACCTTCAGACTAGACCCAGTACAAGATGTCCTGTTCTCATCACTGTACACAGACACCTTGCTGACAACATTCAAATAAAGGGACAAAACTTTCAAAGACGACCACTGGGTTAGTCTAAACTAGTTCCCCTATAGTCCAGTTTTAATTCCATACATACAGATAAACATAATAAATATTTTAGCATAACTAAATCAACTACGTAAAACAATGATACTTGATTCTTATTTTGTATTTTCCTTATTGAACTAATAATTTATTGCAAACTTTACAGAAAGTGCACCCCACACTGCTGAAGAATCATGTCAATGGCAGGCTGAATAGAATCAGTGAAGGACATGATATAGACTGGAGTACAGCTGAAGCTATGGCATGGGGCAGTTTGCTTTATGAAGGTAATAATGACCTTTGGTTCTATGTCACTGTTAGGCTAAAGGAGTACAATTAGGACAAGATGAGTGAATAATATAAAATTGTCTGGGCATTACAGAATAAAGTGTTTAAGATGTTTTTTTTTTACAATACAGTAGAACCTCGATTATCCGTCGTAATGGGGGGGAAGGGAGGCCACGAATAACTGAAAACCACGGTTCATCCAACACGCCATAAACATGTATTACAAACCCATAAAAAAGACTAACACAATATAAATGGACGTTAATGTGATGATTAATTTGCATTTTACATCAAAATACAATTAGTATTGCACAATCATGATATGTTAAGTCATTAACCTTGGTTCAGTAATAAAAACTGTTATGTTTAAACCTGCTTACTAAAACAAAACAAAAATTGCTAATCATTGTACAAAGAGAGCACGAGTGAAAGAAAGTTGAAGTTGATCCGCCCCCAGTTAATCGAGGTTCTACTGTACTATCTTTGAAAAAGTACGCCAATGGGTTATAAAGAATTTATAAAGACTGTACTTTTGTTAATAGGCATAGGCAAATTTTATACTTAATATTCCTGCACAGTGTCCTTATTATTTGAAGAATTATTATTTTGTTTAAATAAGCCTCAGGTTGATTATTGGAACTTTGAACTATCATATCAAAGAAGTTTATTCTTTTTTTAGCGAATTTCCCATATGGGGAATTTAAGCTATTACCGTATATCTCATGGTGATACCTGGACTCAGAACCGATTTTTAGTTTGGTTTGATGTCCCCAGAGTCTATAAACATCATCCGTTGAAGTTCATGTATATATATGTTAATTTTAAAAATAAACCTCATTTATTCTTAGAGAAATAGATGAATTGTTATGAATTTGCTTGTTTATAGATTTATTTTGATCAAATTTGGTCAATTGATTTATTTCATACTAAGCTGTTAGCACTGAAAAATATTCACACATTTTTTAAGAAATATTTTAGTGAAAATCCAATCAGGCAAATGGAAATTCGCTAGTCTGCAGGTTTGCTGCGAAGGAATATGGTTTGATCGAATAGTGATGCACTAATTGTTTATATCCCCAGGTTACAATGTGCGTATCAGTGGGCAGGATGTTGGTAGAGGCACCTTCTCCCACAGACATGCTATGCTTGTAGACCAGGACACCAATGACCTGCATATTCCTCTCAATCACTTAGCTGAGGGTCAAGCCACTTTCCTTGAGGTAACATGTACTCTTCAAGCATCAATCACTTAAACACATTTATATCTAATGTACGGAATTGAAAAATCAAATTACAAATTAAAATTTGAATCACTACCACAACCAAGACCTCCTGACAATACTCCAGGTATCCTTAGTTACAAGATGTGTCCGAGGAGACTGATTGGGATCGGCTGTTTTCCTTTTACTATTCCTTGATCAAAATGAGCATGGTACCGCAATATTGAAGAATATGAAGGAGGTGGTATTTGATCACAGTAAAATATTGTTTACTGTACTAAAAAGTATCTATTCGTTTTACAACAACCTAATTTTTATAAATTCAACTAGCTGACCCGGCGAACTTCGTATCGCCTAAGTTATAGGTTTCCCCTAAGACAGACCGATGGAAAGAAAGTACCGTTACGTTTAATTTTCAAGATGATCTCGTTCGCATCGCTCAATCACGTCCTGGTTGAAGTTCGTTCGCTACGCTCACTCACCTTTGGGTTGGAGCTTGTTCGCTACGCTCACTCACCTTTAGGTTGGAGCTCGTTCGCTGCGTTCACTTGCCTTCAGGTTAGCTCGTTCGCTACGCTAACTCGCCTCCAGGTTGAAGTTCGTTCGCTACGCTCACTCACCTTTGGGGTGGAGCTCGTTCGCTACGCTCACTCACCTTTAGGTTGGAGCTCGTTCGCTGCGCTCACTTGCCTTCAGGTTAGCTCGTTCGCTACGCTAACTCGCCTCCAGGTTGAAGTTCGTTCGCTACGCTCACTCACCTTTTGGTTGCAAATTAGCTGTTGTCATAAATGTAAAAGAAATAATAGTGCTGCACCCTGTTGGTAATCCTTGTAACTTTAATGCTATTGAACATCATAGAACAGAACCAACTTGTTTAATTGAAACAGCTGTTAAGATTCATTAATTCCATTTCTCATAAGGTTAACATGGGAAACTCCAGAGCCACTGGGGCGGAGCCCTTTTAAGAATTTTGAAACGGGAAACAGTTTACGTCCGATTCGCATACCTACAGAATTTACACACCAAATTTCATAACGATCGGTGAAGTCGTTCCGGAGGAGTTTGCAGACAAACACTGTGACACGAGAATTTTATATATTAGATTGACTAAATTGAAAATCCATAAAATTATAAACTAGTGCCAAAAAACCTTATGTAAATCCTATGCATTGAAGCCCATAAAATAAAAAAATAGTTATCTCTGTCCCAGCTTTTACCATAAAGACTATAGTGATAGCCACTTTCTCTTAAGCAAATTCGCTAAAACAAACATTTTAAGGATTACAATGATGTTTTTTAAATACTTAAATGTTCTGATACTTTCATTACAAACATTTGTATTGTTTCTAGATTGCCAACAGTCATCTATCAGAGGAAGCTGTTCTTGGATTTGAATACGGAATGAGTTTGGAAAGTCCGAAACATTTGTTCATATGGGAAGCACAGTTTGGAGACTTTTTTAACGGAGCTCAGATTCAGATAGATACGTTTATTTCTTCTGGAGAAAGTTAGTAGTATTTGAAGTTACAGAATTAATCTAACCAAAAACAATTTGGATACATTGAAAATGGAATGACTCGTACAGAGTTGGGAATATAAACCGAATCATTTTAGGTAGTACATACATTTTTCAGTTCAACCTATTTGTTGATTCTAACTTCAAACAGATTTTAGTTAGGTATACTACTAGAGGTAGAGTTCATTTATGGATTTTTTAAGTTCTGTTCAGGACTTTTTTACTGATAATTGAACCTGGATAATATATAGTAACTATATTTAAGAGATTAAAGATGTGGATGAAAGTGACCGTTCTGTAATTGGGATCTTAAAATGCATCCTGTTTAGTTTCCCCTCTAAAAATTTTACGAACCACAACCATAACAAATTTTACCTCTATAAAGCAAGAACTGCCCGTATTTTTTGACACCATTGTATTTCTTTAATAAATCACAATTAAGTTCAAATAAAACAATAATCACAAATTAATAAAATAAAAGAATTGTTTAATGTTTATATTCTCTATATTAGAATTTTTGACTTAACAAAATTAACTGAATAACTCCCTCTAATTTAAACAAATCTTCTCTTGTTTGAATAAGGTGTAGAGGGTTAGAAGCTCCAAAGTTGTCCAGGCCAACTCAGGACCTACAATAGGTTCACTTATGAGGCAAGTTATTCATTTGGATTTTAACTGTGTAAGATAAATACTTTCAATGATACATTTTTGGACAGGCAAGTGGATGAGATGCAGTGGGTTGGTAATGCTGCTGCCCCACGGCTACGACGGCGCAGGCCCTGAACACTCATCCTGTCGACTGGAGAGGTTCCTCCAGTTGACAGACTCCAGTGAGACTTCGGTGGATGGTGAGGACGTCAACATGCACATAGCTAACCCTACAACACCTTCTCAGTACTTCCACTTGCTGCGACGACAGGTCTGACCAATCTGTTAAAAATCATATAAATAATATAGTATGTACTCGATTAAACACAGCATTTTCATAAAAAAAAAACTTTTAAATCCAATTTTTTTGTTTTGTAAAAAACATTTGTTTTTTTTTCAAAAACCTGTCAAGCATGAACAGGTCGATTACTCTTACTTACTCCTGTGGCCATTAAAAACCAAGGCGGTCTTTGGCCTCGCCAAATATGTGCCTCCAGGATCCTCTGTCCTCTGCCAGCTCCAGGTCTGCTCCCATACTCCTTAGGTCCTTTGTAACTCCGTCAATCCATCTCTTCCTTGGCCTTCCCAATGGTCTCCTACCCTCCAGTGTACCTCTTATCACTTGTTTTATCATCTCCCTCTCACCTCTGCATTGAATGTGGCCCAGCCACCTCAATCTTCTACTCTTAACCACTCCCACAAATGAACAGGTCGATGGCACAGTTAATTGTGAGAGGGACTCTAAACCTAATCAGTATAATCAACATAATCTAATCAGTATAAATTAGCATTCATATAAGCTTGAAGAGAGTTTGTTCAAGTCCTCCTAATTAAATACAACAAATCTAAAATAATGTGACTTTTTCTCTGATTTTCAGATGGTTCGAAACTACCGAAAGCCATTGATAGTTGTTGGACCAAAAATGTTGATAAGATATCCAGAAGCAGTCTCTTCATTGGCTGAGTTTGGACCGGGAACTCGATTTAATCCTGTTTTAGGTAAGGGTAATTTCAATATTTTTACTGTGATAGTTTTAAATAGTGATACTTATGTTTAATCCACTTGCTAGGGGGGTTCCCGTGTGCATTTTATGTATAGAAAAATACCCTAAGGGATCATGTAGGTACTATGTGGGTTATCATTTTTCACGTGGGTGCCAGCTTGGCAGAGTGGGCATAACCTCAGAATCCGCCATTTTAAAAATGGCGGCGGCATTTATTACATGAAACTCATCGGGAGCTTATATCTCGAAAACGGTAATATATAGCGAGTTACTTTTATTACAATAAATGTTGCTTACACAATAAGGAACAACTTTTGTATTTACAAAAATGCCCTAAATATAACTATTTAGGAGTAGTTGAGCAATTTATGCTAATTTAACCTATACATTTTTACTTTGTTTGGCAAAAAAATCTAATATCTTAAAAAAAAAACTGTTCTTTTTAATTTTTCACATAGCACTTATTGCTCTTTACATTTAAGGTCAAAATACCCCCACCGAAGCAATCCTGCAGACTAAGCAAACATTTACGTGGCTGCATTAAAATTGTCATATTTAACCTATAAATTTTATCTCTGTTGCCAAAAAAACTAATAATTATAAAAAAGCTGTTATTTTGTAATTTGGTACATAGCACTAATTTTTTCACTACACCATCACTGTATCCAAAACTCAAAGGATCGAGTTGAAAAAGTGTTCTTCCAAGAAATGAATTTGGAAGTATGTACAATAAAAATCACGTAAGATATGCTGTCTAGTAGCTCTACTAGACAGAATTTCTTCACGAGCAACGGATGCAGTTCTTAAAGAGTATTCGTTGTACAGTGACAGTGTACATCCAGTGTCTTACATTATTCATAGTTTCACACTGAGTATCCTTTTTTAATGTGAACTAGATACTTCTCTGTGTTTTTCAAACTTTATTCTATCTCTACCTCCCCATCTTTTCCTAAGTACATTAGCAAAGTATTTGGATTACATTTTAGGGTAGCACGCTTTGTTCCAAATTTGCTGGCAAAGTCACAGCCCGTTAAAATATTGAGTGCTGGGAGAACTGAGCAAAGGTTACTTCCAAGCCTGTTTGCTACAACGTGAACTAGTACATATCATGAAGTTCTGGCTGAACCAAGTCGCATCCACAATTCCTGCAAACCTTCCGAAGAGAATCCATTCACAATGTGTAAAGCCAACACTACGAAATCTGTATCCGAAGATAGAACTACGACTTAATTTGATAACTCGAGCAAAAATCATCCAATTTTAATGAAATTTATCACAAACGTGTAAACCTACGTTTTCAGACGAGTTCGGACTATTAAACAAGCACGATCGGACTATGGGAACCCCCGTTTATGGGGTAAAAATATATTTTTCCGATTTTCGACCCTAAAAACACGAAGTTTTATAATGAACCAAATTATGTTGTAGAGCTCAAAAAGAAATAATTTTGTATATTGAAGCGTTGTAGTATGCCCAAAAAGTACGTAAATAATAATAATAAAAAAAAAATTATAATTCCCATGTTATTCTTATGAAGAATAAATAAACTGTTTTAGTTTGCTTGTTTATGGATACATTAGAATCAAATTTGAAAATGTTGTTTCATTCATACTAAGCTATCAACATTTCAATACAAATAAAAAAAAAACAAAAAAAAACACCTCAATACCTTCCCTGAAGCAACAAACTTCAGTACTTCAATCAATACTACAAATCAATGTCATTTAATAGGAAATCAATCTGTCAATTTTAATATTTTAGTAGAAATGCAGCCACGTAAATGTTTGCTGATTCTGCAGGTTTGCTGCGGCGGGGTATTTAGACCTTAGATGTAAAAAGCAATAAGTGCTATGTGCCAAATTAAAAAGAACAGTTTTTTTTTTTAAGATATTAGAATTTTTTGTCAAACAGAGTAAAAATGTATAGGTTAAATTAGCATAAATTGCTCAACTACTCCTAAATAGTTATATTTAGGGCATTTTTGTAAATACAAAAGTTGTTCCTTATTGTGTAAGCAACATTTATTGTAATAAAAGTAACTCGCTATATATTACCGTTTTCGAGATATAAGCTCCCGATGAGTTTCATGTAATAAATGCCGCCGCCATTTTTAAAATGGCGGATTCTGAGGTTATGCCCACTCTGCCAAGCTGGCACCCACGTGAAAAATGATAACCCACATAGTACCTACATGATCCCTTAGGGTGTTTTTCTATACATAAAATGCACACGGGAACCCCCCTAGCAAGTGGATTAGTTTTATATTGTGCCAATCTGTTTTTGGTTTGTGGTACACAAGAACTTGGAATGCTGGATGTGTTTCTAGAGACACTTGATGTTGTACATTATGTCCAGGTGATAAGAGTGTCAGAGCTCCTGAAGCAGTGACCAAGGTGTTGTTGGTGAGTGGCAAACACTTCTATGCCCTGAGGAAACAGAGAGATGATCTTGGATTGCTGGATGTGGCTATTGTTCGAGTTGAGGAACTTTGTCCCTTTCCCACTTACTATCTACAACAGGAACTTGAAAAGTACTCAAAAGCAAAGTGTAAGTAAAAGTACTCCTCTCACAAATATATTTAAAAATCAAGTGAATTTCCATAGTGAGGTTGATAATTTAAGAAAACTTTCACAAGATCCATTATGCCCAATTCGCTCAATTTGTTTGTTGATACAAATAATATACAATTAGAAATTTATAAAAGTCCATTACATATTGGAGGTGTTTTGTGACTTATCCAAGGTTTTTGACAGTGTCAAGCATGATATCCTCATTAAAAAACTAGAGTTGTATCCCTTTTCTGTAAATGCAGTGTCATGGTTGAAATCTTACCTAAATAATCGCCATCAGAGAACAGTCATTTGTAAAGATTATTTAAAAGTAAATTCAAATGGAAAAAATTTAAATAGGTGTGCTTCAACGCCCTCAAGGTTCAACTTTTGGGCCTCTTCTATTCCTTATACATATCAAAGATCTCCCAAAAGATGTGTCTTTATGCAGATGATACTACTGCCGTAGTTAAAACAAAAACAATGAGGTATTAATACATAAAATTTAAGAAAGCCTAACCGAATCGGGGAAGGGGTTTGAGATCAATGGATTGAAATGAATGAAGAGAAAACCAAATTTGTAATTAATAATAATAGGTTAGATACCTTATTTACGTCTTCAATCCAAGTAGTCTTATTTACTAAAAGTTATTGTAGCTTATGCTATTTTTCATAAAAAACCCAAAACATAGGTAACGGAAAATAAGATTCTCGACAAAAAGCCGGTTTTGATTAAAGTTACAAATGAGTTAGATGATATTGATATTAGCAGCTACCCAAATCTTACTTTACTAAATGTAGAAAACAAAGTGTGTCATGGTCCTTATTTAAAAAAAAAAAACATAAAATTGAGCAATATCTTTCCAAACAATTTTGTATAGGTTGAAAAAACAAATAATTTATCATATCAAAGTGTTATTTTGCACCTAATGGTTACGGAGAAAATTCCAAAAAATTGTAAATTTAAAATTCCCATTTCATTCTTATGGAGAATTAGTAAACTGTTGTATTTTGCTTGTTTATAAACATATTTTGATCAAATTTGGAAAATGCATTTATTTTTTACTAAACCATTAACATGAAAAAAACACTTTTTTACCCTCCCTGTTGTAGCAAACCTAAGTACTCGTTAAACTAATTCTATTTAAATAGGAAATAAATGTGATATTTTTAAGGAGGAATTTTAGTGTAAATCCTATCAGGCAAATGGAAATTCGCTTAGTCTGCAGGTTTGCTGTGGCGGGGGTATTTTTCATTATATCGACTGGGACTATATTCAATATATAGATATAATATATTTTTCTCAAGCATTTAATATTTATTTGCAGATTTCATTTGGTGTCAAGAAGAACATCGCAATATGGGTGCATGGACTTATTGTAAGCCTCGATTTGAGAACCTTCTTGGTATAAAGGTAATGTCAACTTGTTAGTAAGTTAATCATTGGTTGGTTGTATAAACATGTTCATGTTGTAAAAAAGTGTACACAATACAAGTGTATAAGTCTGTTTGAATTAGAAATAAGCATTATTGCTATGTTGTATGAATGAATGAATGAAAGACACTATGTTAATAGCAGTATAATCTTGACTTTTTTGTGGTTCACAATTAACATATAGTTTACCTAGCAAGTTAAGTTTTGAAGAGATTCGAGTGGTGGGCTTGTGACATTCGGTTGTAGCTTCTAACATGGGTTAGACGCTTGTGGTTTGTTGCAGCCAATACATTACACTTACACTTAACATTTGATTACTTCATTATATTGAATTTTAGCCTCCTGATCACATTTAAATACTAAAAATTGATGTAAATACCTGCATTTATGCGATCCCGTTTGTAGCTGAGTTGCTACCAGTTTCAACTCACAAAGGAGTCATCTTCAGGCTGTTAAAGATGTCTTCTCGCTTAATTCGAAGGTCGTCAATTGATAATAAATAAATAATCAAAACATCAACTCGTACACTAACATAAATAGAAACATTTAACTTATGGCTAAAAAATACTGAAACTGTAGGCCTACAGGACACAACGTGATCGGGCGGGAGTTATGTCTAGACTCCATAAGTGTTCCTTAATGTTTTTATTTATGTCAGTGTACATGTTCATGTTTTGTTAATTTATTTATTATCAATTGACGACCTTCGAATGAAGCAAGAAGACATCTTTAACAGCCTGAAGATGACTCCTATGTGAGTTGAAACCGGGAGCAACTCAGCTACAAACAGGATTCCATGAATGGAGGTATTTACACCAATTTATAGTAATATATTACTAATTGCCAATTCTGTTTACAGTTGATGTATTCCGGTCGAAGGACGTTGGCCGCCCCAGCTGTTGGTATTGGGGAACTGCACAAACAAGAAGTGGCTTATGTCATAACACACCCTTTTGAAATATCATAGTAGCAAAATGTCAAGTGATATTGGCAGTACTGTGAATCACAACAGAACTCTCCTCTTTACGAATTAGTAAATTTTACCATTTCATGTAGAGTTGGCCAGATAGTAAAAAATCAGTTTGTAGGTTGTTACACTTACCTTCAATTCTGAATATCGAGGTTTAATTCTTAGAATTTTAGCCTATGGCTGTAAAGAATTGCGGCTTATTTAACACTCATAGCCGAATAGAATTATTTGTTCATGTCACCATAGACAAAAAGAATTAAATATAGACCGAAAGCCGTGCTGCGGTTAGCATAGGTTCTGGCGTCCACTGCTGGGAGTGCCCTGTAGTTACGGCGTGCTAACCGTAGCACTATATTGTCTATATTTAATTCTTTTTGTTTATGATGTCACATACTCCAAGGTATCTATGTAAGAGGAATGGGGATAAAACATGAGTTAAAAATGAATAAGAGTGAAATAATTAATAATCACTTGAAAAAATGTAAAGTTTAGTAATTTGTTTAATATTAACATTAACCCTCAGTTTTGATAAATAGTTACTGAATTTTCACTTTTCGATGCTTTTGTGTTCATGGTATTTTTAGGTGCTATGAATGTGTTATAGATAAAGTTAGAGGTAAAAGACAGAGGTTTTATTTTGTGTTATTTTTTTAAATCCTCATATATTATTGTACCTATACTGATTATATTGTACTGTACTGTGAATGTCCATAACATAATGATGTGTTAACTTTAACAATTTTAAAACACTATTTGTTAGGATATATAAAAATTTAGTAGTTAGGAAAAGTCAGGGTTATTTTTATTGAATGTTATTTGTTATATTATATGTAGGATAATACTGATTGTTCTTCACTATTTCGTTGGATTATAAAACCAAGTGTTTAGGGCAGAAGTTTGACAATACGACATTAGTGCCAAGTGGCAGTGTCTACCTATCACCACATCACTGTCTTGTTACATGCACTCCAATACAGTTTCCAGTCAACTTTACCTTTGATAGTTATTTGAAGTGATTATTGTACAAGTATACTCTTATATTAAGGAATCGTATGTTATTTAGGTATAAGTAGACTCTCGATTATCCACTTAACACGTTCACTGCGGATGTATCCGATCGGATACGGGCCGTGCGCTGTTCAGGTGCTGCCGTAACCGATCGGATACGCTCGGCAATGCCTTTCGTATATCATCGTTTTTGCTCTAGCGTCGGTCGAAGGCAGACCTATTCCACGTTAGCGTGTAGTGGGTGACTTGCTTTTTGTTGTGTTGTAGGTTGGTAGTAAAATTTCCCCATATAATCCCCGTCTGGCAAACTTAAAAATCAACTTGTTGTCCCGTCTTTCTCCCTCCAATTGGCAATACGATGGAACCGGCTACGTTCCAAGCAGTGCTGCTATCTGTAAGTGTTTAGCGAACTACGTCGACTCTTGTTATAAAACAGGACATCACCGCACGCTATTTGCTATTCGTCATACCGAAATATGAGAGCCAATCACCCGGCAATCGGGTTTGTTTGACGCTGCGGGCTGCGCCGCACTGGGGCTACGCCTGCTATTTGATGGCCCGCAGCGAACGTGTTAAGAGTGGCTGAGTAAGTGTGGATAATATCAACTCAGCCTAAAATGCCTGGGAAATAACTAACATTGACTTGAATGTATACTAAGCTGTAATACAGGTTTAGGTAATAATAATAGTATAATTTCATCAGTAGGACGTAAAGTTACTTTTGGAAAAGAAAGACACTTTTTGCCTGTATGATGCACTATATTTTTTGTCTTGACCCTTCCAGGACTATAGGCAGATATATCCGCCTATCTTTTTGGGCTCCCCGGACAGTAGGCGGATATATCCGCCGATTATTACGGTAGCTATTGTTATAGTTCATTGTCTATAACATCATTAATCTTCGTAAAACATTCTTTTTATTCAATTATATCTTAACTGATGTACTATAAGAATAAAAAAATTTTTATAAAAAAGAAAATATAAAAAAGTCAAGAAAAATTATTTTGGACAAAATTACTGCATAGGTCAACTATTTACAACATTCCATAAATTATAGATATAACAAAAATATTTTTTTGTTTTTATATATAAAATAATTTTTCACCACACTATGATGTTTTTGGCTGTATTACATACGTTAATTGGTGGCTGAAAGTTACGTGTTGCTGACCATGCCAGCTGTCATCGTAATTTGGGGACCGAGCAGGTTTTTACATCCCGGGGCCGCAAAATCAGCTGTCCGCTTGCATATTAATTACACAAACAGTATCCATACCATTGAAATAGAATTGTTTTCTTTTCACCGTTGCCTAGCAACTGTTTAGTATTTTTTTTGCTGATTCCTGAAATTACTTCTTCACATAACCTTAAAGTTGCGTTGACTATCAGTTTTCATTATTATTATTGTGAATAGTAGTAGTGTGGTGACAAATAGTGTTCGTACCACGGACCAAAAATGGTTTTGCAGCTCTCGATCGACTAAAAACTATCTCAAGCCGGCAAAACCTCATTTTCGGCCCTAGGTACGAAATATACTATTTCACCACACTATGATGTTTTGGCTGTATTACATACGTTAATTGGTGGCTGAAAGCTACATTTTGCTGGCCATGCCAGCTGTCATCGTAATTTGGGGACCGAGCAGGTTTTTACATCCCGGGGCCGCAAAATCAGCTGTCTGCTTACTTACTAAAAACATGAGAATGCATTTTAAATACACAATCAATCAAAATCCATAGCATTGCAATATAGAATTGTGTTATTGTCACCGTTGCCTAGCAACTATTTATTTTTATTTTTGCTGATTCCTCAAATTATTTCTTCACATAACCTTAAAGTTGTAGTTGGGTTGACTATCAGTGTGCATTATTAATCAAATCAAATCAAATCAAAACATCTTTATTTTCCTTACATGTACATGGGTACAAAAATAGTGTCAAGTATAAAGTACTAAACTAGCTTAAAGATATAAATACATTTTAAGTATGAATAGGTATTTATTCAATGAGTTCCTCCATTGTATAAGGCGCCTTTTCTATTAAATGTTTTTTTTTTTATTTAGATTTAAATAATTTATAATTTGATTCCTCCTTTATAGAGGCAGGCAATTTCCTTAGAATTAGTGATCCAGCAAAAGTTGGTTTTTTTTTGAGAATTCCAGCTTATAGGTTGAAGTTACAATATCCTTTTTATGTCTTGTATTGTAACTATGTGGCACAACTGGCTCATATTTTAGGCTGTCTCTTTTAGCTATACATGCTATTTCAAAAGTATACGCTGCAAAAACTGTTAAAATATTTAGATTTTTAAAGTGAGATTTAACTGATTCATCTTTTTTAAGGTGTAACATAGTTCTAATGGCTTTTTCTTGCATGATTAGAATTTAATTTAAATTTTTAATCGTAGTTGCCCCATATAGTCCAATGCCATAGTTTATGTGAGAATGAATATGGGCAAAATATATTTTTTTAAGTGCATCTAAATTGCACAAATAAGACATTCTTTTCAATGCGTACACTCCAGAATGAAGCTTTTTTAATAATTTTTCAACGTGTTTATTCCAACTTAGATGTTCATCTACATAGAGACCTAAAAGTTTGGCTTCAGAAAGTTGTTCTATTGATTCTGAATCAATGATCAAATTGGGTTCAAGTTTCTGTTTACTTTGTTTAGTCGAAAAGGACATAAAGTTTGTTTTTGTTGTATTAAGATTGCTTTGTTTAGTCGAAAAGGACATAAAGTTTGTTTTTGTTGTATTAAGATTCAAATTATTATTTTTTAGAAATTGTTGTATATTATACAATTCTACAAAGGCCGAAATTTCCAACTACTCTTTACTTTTCCCCGCCACTGTTAAATTTGAATCATCTGCATATAAACAAATCTTACTCTTTTGAGGATTAACAATACTTTTAGGCAATTCTTTTATATAACATAAAAACAAAATTGGTCCCAAAATTGAACCCTGTGGCACCCCCCACTTAATTCTACGTTTATGAGAGTTAAATGTAGTTAAATAATTGTTTTTCTTTGATTTTATTTCAACAAATTGCATCCGACCATCCAAATAAGATTGAAACCATTTTAAGGGGACTCCCATTATTCCAAGACTTTCCAGTTTCTCTAGCAAAATTGAATGACAAACACTATCAAATGCTTTAGAGAGATCCATGTATATCCCTAGAACATTTTCATAGTTTTCAATTGATTCTATTTTCAATTAATTATAGTGGTGAATGGTGGTAATAGGGTATAGTGTGGTGAAAAATAGCGTTCGTACCACGGACCGAAATGGTTTAGCAGCTCTCGATCGATTTAAAAACTATCTCGAGCCGGCAAAACCTCATTTTCGGCCCTAGGTACGAAATATACTATTTCATCTTCATGCAGCTGTTTTAGTAAGTGATTCAACCATTTCTTCTATTACGATGGTGTTAGGCCTACTGTACATTATACCACAGATCGATATGTCGAAATATTGACAAGAATGCAACAATAAGCTACAACTGATTAATTAAATCGATAAATAATTTCGGTACATTGGATTTATTACAATCAAAGTTTAAAACTAACGGTTTACAACAGGTGACCTTTACTCGAGCTTAGAAAAAAAGGTTTTAAAGAAACATACTTGCCTATATAAAATACCATGAACTGTATTTTTCAGTTGGGAAATAAACATTATTTCATTTCTTAATGTATAGGCTAGATTAAATATGTGTTTAGAAATGTTCCTAATACCATCCCTTGGGTGAGCTTCACCTATGGGCTTTCTTACGGTGCTTTTACTAAAAAATACCCACTGAAGTAACAGTTGTTTGCCACACAGCAGTTTTTAAATTTACCACTGCAGGTATGAAAACCACTTTTTAATCTTAATCAGAATGAAAATACACATAGGCCTACTGTAGTATCTTGTTGATATATTTTTACTAGCTTACCTGTGGCATGTTGCTACGAATTTAAAGGATGTAACTTAAGACTGTCTGGAAACCAAATTGCCTTAGCTTGGTTTATATTGACCACAGTTTGTAGGGAAAAATATATTTGAAAGGTCATTTCACTTTAAAAAACTCAATTCCAACGATGTGTGTTGGCATTGGGTTAAATGATTTCTAATCTTACTTTATATTGCCCATTTGTTTCTAAGGTGGGATACACACTGAGACATCATACAAATTCTGATGAAATTGAAAGAGACTTGCATTTTGCTAGACATTGACTTGCACAGTTGCATGGTTTGATATTATGTCCTGCTGTTAACAGCATTTTTAATAAAGTAACAATAATTAGTTAGATTCTGTGATAAGACCGAGCTGCAAACTGTACTCGTAATTTTTTTAAATTTGAAAGCATTCCTTGATCACTGCCTACAGCTAGTTAAACAAGGAGGTTGAAAAATATTTGCCATTACATACTACGTTAACTATTTTTAAAGCTGTGCTCAACTAGACTTTGTTTATTGTTAAGCAATATTTTTAGCTGTACTGAAAAGCCGGGTATTCCTAGGTGCGGAAGCAGTGAGTGGAGTGCGAGGAAGAGATTTCAATGACGGTCCACTCCGCTTCTAGGAAAACAGTAAATTACCTAAGACAAAATAAAAGCAGACTCCACACTCTGTGTCCCGCTTCCGTTCCTAAGAAAACCCGGCTTAAATTATATTTGTTGTTGTTAATAAATTTACTACGAATAATTTGTTTATCTTCCAATATTATAGCTGGTTTTAAACTATTTGTGCCATGAAATAATGATTATTTACTGTTGTAATTGATTGTACTCACCGTTTATTACATTAAAATTTATTTTGTTATTCTTTTGTTTTAATGGATAATTTATAAAACACATTAACAGTACGGCCTGCAAGAATATTTGATTTATATTATATGTAGCCTAATTAACAATACAAACGGTATAGAAAAATATCAAGTTGAGAAACAGAAGATTTTTTTACACATTTAATCAAATAAAGTGTACCAGATTGGAGCCAATATGGGGGATTGGTTTCTTGATGGCACAAAGTTCTCAATCTTACATTTTCAACACTCCAAAATAATTAACAAGAAAAAAAACAATATTATATAAAAACCATGTTATTTTCCTATAAAATAACAAAAAAAAAAAAAACTAAATTTTTGGAGAAAAGCTGGCTTTTAATATGTTATGTGTGATTTTTAACTATAAAATATCACATTTACTCTCACCGCTTACCCATGATAAAGGTTATTGACATGCTTATGGGAGAAATAATGTGTCAGATTGCTAATACTGTTTATTAAAAATTTAGAGATTAAATAAAGGATTTGGAACAATTTTAAAGCTACCCTAGGACTTAATGGGGAGGACTTAATTACCCCTGACATTATATTTGACAACTGGTATACCCTCCCCCCCCACCCCCCTAAAAGATAACCTGCTTCCCAAAACGCACACACTCGCAAACTCACGCCGATACCAGGGTGTCTACTACATTCTGGATCAAAAATTCATGGACAATTCCTGTACATTTAAGGGCACGTTGCCGTAACCTTTGTCGGTGTCATTAGGCCTACCGAATAATTTTCCTGATTTGTCAAACTGTATTAATCTTGTTATTCACTGTAGTTACCAGAGAAAAAAGTAAATAATAATAGATAAGAGTTAAAAATTTCAAAATAGAAATTTATTGAAAGTAAACAAACATAGGCCTACCTCTATACTTTAGGTAAAGCTTTTATAGTGTAACAGAGAAATGCAATCATTGTCTCCTGCGATAGCGACAAATATCTCCATCGGTCACGTAAACTTCATAACATAGCTTATCCGATCCAGGCCGATTAATTTGGCATGATTCGCCCTGGCACAACGTTAGGTTCTCGACTACTTTTGAACAAAAATTTTTAATGCATATTGTTACTCAATTCTTAGTACAAAATTAAGGTATGGTTAGCGGCTATTAATAAGCAATAAGCACAGAGTAAGATTATTGTATTTTCATTTGCAAAGTTAATATCGACACATAGCAATCATTGGTTGTTTATCTTAGGCTCAATTACATGTTCTTAATATATTTTACAGCTCTTTCAAGAATCAAAATACCCAGGCCTAGACCTAATTATTTAGGAGGGCCTATATAAACTGAGTAACTAACAATGAGGTTATAATAGCAGCAAAGTCACTATCATCATTCTAGTTCATAATATTTAGATTGCTTAAAGCATACAACTCAATAAATAAATATATGGGAAACAAAAAACATTGAACCCACCTGAATAGCCAACAATATAAGACTAAGATAAAGAAAATGCAATGACATAATTTTGAAACCAAGCAGGCCTACATAGTGATAAAACATTAATGCAAACAACAATGCTTGTGGTTTTGTCAATTGAAAGATAAAATGTCCATAAAAAAGGGGTTAACTTACAAAATAAGACAGTAGATTATTTACTGTTTAATATGAAACCTGAATCTTCAAGCCGAAAGTACAAGTAAGAAGTGGAATTTAACAGACATTATAAAGCTATTATTTTCACGATAAAATAGGTTTAGGATCTAATAATAATTACCCTAGTAATAAAAAAAGAAGTTGTAAAGGAATAAAAGTGATACAACTTTTATGAGTTAGCTGCTGAGTCAACAGTTCTTGGAAGTACTTGACTTGACACTTGATTGTCGTGATAAAATATTAATGGGTTTGAGATTGCTAATGGGATTTTTATTGCATAATTATTGCGTTAATAAATTATGAATATGTAAACAAATATCTGATAAACCTTTTATGTGCTCCTAACCAACTAGCGATCAATAAAATTATGGCCCATTAAAAATTTAAGGACATAGTCTGGCATTTAAGGACAATTCCCGTACATTTCATGGCCATTAAAAATTTAAGTACAATTCCCGGTTTTCCCGGTTGGTAGACACCCTGGATACATACACCGCCACACAGATTCACACTATTGTCCTTGTCCTAACACCAACAAGCGGCTGGTAGCCCTTAAGTACTCGGGCCGTCAAAGGTCTGTCTCTGTGGCACAGAATTGAGAACTCCACACACACACACTCAAACGGGCGCGACGTTTACTCTGGCATTCAATCGTACTTTCACCCTATCAGCTGACATGAATTTAAGTTGTTGTCTTTAAGTTCATTGTCGTAGATTGAGATCATACAATTTTGAGCAGCTATTCCTCCACCTAGTGCTTGTAGCTAGTAACGTTATTTAGAGTAAATATTTTAATAAATAAAACTTATAAACTCTGGGGAAAATACCATTTTCATTTGATTATTTCAGTAATCAGGACGTTTATTTAAGAAAGAATATGTACAAAGAAATTATTTATAATTATCAGCTCTCTGTGTCCTCTTTGCTGGAGCCCTCTTTACTTGCCAAGTATTCATTATACTGCTCAGGAATTCCCTTGAACTGCTTGATCTTCCTACGAATCTGCTGCCATGTTTCCTGATAATAATTCTTCTTGTCTCGTGCCATGGCCTATAAAAGTTAGATTACTCGTTACAAACAGTGGTGTTGATTTCCTTGTTTTTCAATGGACGTAAATTCTTTTATTGGGTAGCTTAGAACTGACTGGCATCACTGTTACCTGCCAGAGAAGGTGTGTTTGCATAAGTGATCGCAAGGATATATTAATACTCATTGAATAGGCATATGAGTCTATATTTATCCATCAGAAAAAAAAGTAAAAAGATACAACAAATTTAAAACATTTGTACATCAGAAATATTTTTCACAGATCCTTACCTCGTAGTCTTCACCATATTTATCCATCAAGTATGTAACCCACTGGACATGACTTTTAGGCAATCTTAATCCTCTTTCCCTGGGAGCATGGGCATCTTCTTCTAGTTCAGAGATCACTTGTAACTTTTCTGGTTCTTTCTCATTCGGTTTTACATGTTCAGTTTTAATAAGCTGAAACAAGGTTAAGGTACAAGTTAACAAAGACATGGTAACAGCTACATTTATAAAACAACAAGTCTTTGTTTTTAATTTTATGTATCAGGTTTAGAAATGAGCAGACTGCAAATCAAAAAAACATTCTGTGCTAAATGTGAGCTTAGGCAAAAGCATCAGTGTTGTCTGATCTACTTGCTTATCTAGACAAGTTCAAGCTCCCAATTCTGAGGAACGAAAATCTAATCATGTGATCAGGTGATTTGGCAATTTTGGAACCCAGTAAGGTGCTGGTATGAGGACCGCAGGAGCGTCCTCGATGCTTTATGGGAAAAATTACCAAAAGAAAATTTTGTCGGAACTGAACCTTTACAGAAGGGTGTGTGCAGTGAAATAGGTTTAGAAAAAAATTACATTGCAAAAAAAAGTAGGCTACACTTAAGTTTAAGGATCTGCACAGAAAGGATTTAATGGTAAGAATCCAAGAGGCCAAAGCGGCCAGAATTGAGACCTGGGGCCAAACTCAAGGAGACTCCATAAGTTAAGTTAAGACTGATGATCTTACAATCAATTTTTCAGCCAAGCTGTTCGGAGCTGCAGTGAATTTAGTATGTAACAAATAACATGCATTCTTCAGTTACAAACATTATTCTGCATTTATAATAAATGCATAATAATTGTGGTAAATAAGCCCAATTGCAGTGGACATGACACGCTGGTTCCTTCTTTGTCTTCGTGAGATAATCTTGCTGAATGAATCTGGGGTTAATGATTCTATCTCTCTGCTAAAGATTCAGTGACTAAGGACAAAATTAAAATACCCTGACACATAAAACACTGCTTACACAAAAAATCAATCAGAGAACCATTTCATTGACCAAAACAAGTAGCCTAAAGTAATTTTGATGAGACCATTCCAGAGAGGCAGTCCATCTCTTCAAACAGATAATTTAGAGGGTTCTCCTTAAAAACTATAGCCTACAAACAAAATAAACGGTATCAGCATTCTGACACATACTTTCTCCCATAAGTTTGTCAACAACCTTTATCATGTGTAAGCGGTGAAAGTAAATATGCGGAAATGTAATTTGTACGAGTTTGTTCAGAATTTAAAGGACTATATACTATTTTTTTTTTCAAAATCGTTCGGGCCATTTTTGTGAAAATCTGATTTTTCCGTTATTTTATGGGGTTTTTATGGGGAAATAACATAATTTACAATAACGTTTGAACCATAATTTTTACAGAAATGGGATTTGTACCATTTTGTTCAGAATATAAAGGACTATAACATACAAATTTTTTATCAAAATCGTTCGGGCCGTTTTTGGGGAAATCATATTTTTCTGTTATTTTATGGGGTTTTATGGGAAAATTCCCATTAAAAATTAAATTTTTCTTAAAATGAAAAAAACTATCAAAACTTTAAGGACCATAACATACTATGTTAAAATAAAACCGGATTTTTTTCTAAAATCCTATTTTTCGTTATTTTATTGGGTTTTTATGGGAAAATAACATAATTTACCATAACTTTTGAACCAAAATTTTTACAGAAATGGGATTTGTACCATTTTGTTCAGAATTTAAAGGGCTACAACATACTAAATTTTTATCAAAATCGTTCGGGCCATTTTCGAGAAAATCCGATTTTTCAGGTTTTTTATGGGTTTTTATGGGAAAATCCCCATTAAAAATCAAAATTTCAAAAAAATGAAAAAAACACCTGGAGATATCATGGATTAGAACCTACATACCAAATTTCATCGAAATCGGACCACAGGTGTAGTCCCTAGCTCTGTACACATCCAGACACACAGACACACACACACACACACACACACATACGGGGTTTTACCGAATACTCGCAAACACCTAATTGTGGCATCTTTCAACCTGCGGCCACCAGTGGATGAAGGAAGGTGGTAGAAACATGTCTGCATCGATATTTTTAATGAACACTCCATTTTAACATCTAACATTCCAGTTTTTAAATTGTGGCACCATGCCACAAATCGGTATATATCAACAGTGTGTGGACAGGATGCAGTGTTGGGGAAGCTACTTTTAAAATGTAGCTAGCTACAACTACTGCTACATTTCCAAAAAAGTAGCTTAGCTACAGCTACAGCTACAGTTTCGAAAAAGTAGCTAGCTACAACTACAGCTACTATGAAATGTAGCTACAGCTACAATTTTAGCTACTTTTTCCAAGACGTTACTTTTTATTTCACGCTCATTAGGTAAATGTAAAATTAATTGCAACTACATTTTTATTGAATAAACATTTAAACAAAAAATTTCAGTATTGTATCATTGATTATATATACCTACAGGTATATATAGTCAATGATTGTATCCATGGAAAACAAATTATTCCTGGATTGTATTTAATTTTTTGGCATTATAAACCTAACATTACAACAACAGAACCAAATGTTTGAGTTTCCCATTATATTTAGTACTTATTTTTAAATATTGCATTATTTTTAAGCATCTTATATGTAAATTGTATTAAGTTCAAAGGATATACAACCAAACTATATAATATATTTTAAAAGCTCATTTTATTTCTTTAATATAGATTCATTTATAGATGTCTTATATCAACAATTAAGACCAATAAAACTGTAAAACGGTTATTTAAAAATACTTGTTTGTGTTACAGAGCCTAGCCTACTGAAATTGGAGTTTATTGCCTTTCTTAACTTTTAATGTTAAAAACGACATTGCGACTTATAACTTTTAACCATAGTGATAAGTTACTTGTTCTATGAATAACACTTTTCAATGTCAAGAAATCATCCTTTATTGTCATTATGCATAGGGCAAATTGTGCTTCAACCTAGTTGGTACAGAAAACAGTATTCAGCAACTTATACTGAAATCGGCTTTTAATTTAAACATGATGAAATTTGTAAAGTAAAAATAACATTTAGGCCTACTAACTTGGCTATGTAACAAGTTGGCGATAGTAGGCTTGTTCTTGCAAGGACTAAACAGATATATTCTTAATAATTGAACTTGGAACTTGGTATTCGTCTTAAACCATAGCATAGCCTAGGAATAGTGCTAGAGCTGTTAGCAGGAGCAAACTATGCTATTTTTTCAATGTAAGTTTCATGTTATATGGAGATTTTTTCGTTACAATAATTATCATTTAGTCTAGGCATATCTTAAATCACATCAGGTGATTTCCTCTTTGTTAATTTAGTAAACTTTAAAAAATCTTCGTAATCCAACCAAGGAAGGGCTTGTGATGATGAACCACAATCAACAGGTTGATAGACCAGCTTTCTCATTATTTTAAGGTTTAGCGTTGGTTTCCATTAAAACCCAAGTTGAAACACTATCGATATAATAAAGAAACTAAATTGATTACTAATTTCCCTGTCAATCACTTGCAAGCATTCAATAGCTTCTCTTGTCAGTCTTGTCACCGGTAGCGTTTAAACGTCGTCTGCATCTAGCGATTTTATTTTATCTGACAGTAATCATAGAGTAGTAAATTAAGGAAATGAGAGCCAAAAATGTGTACAACACTCATTTTTATGTGGCCTCCATGTCCACACAACGTTGTATAGGGAATGAAACGGCTGCAACCAGCTGTATGAAGCCAAGAAAGTAGGCCTATTTTTCTTTTAACTCAGTTTGAAAGGTTTCACGTAAGGTTGAGGTTATGATCAAAATCACTATCTCAAACAATGTTAATGTAGCGAGAAAAGTAGCTAAAATTCCGCTACAACTACTTTAAAAATGTAGCTAGCTACAGCTAAAGCTACAAAATCTTAAAAGTAGCGTAGCTACAGCTAACGCTACAAAAAAAGTAGCGCGCTACTGTAGCGTCGCTACTTGTAGCGCGCTACTTCCCAACACTGACAGGATGCCACTAATGCGTTGTAGTGCTTGAGCGGTGTGTGCGCCCCCCCTACTTCTCGCGTGCACTGTTGCCAGTTCTCCGTTCTAGTTCCTTCATTCCGTTCTGTATTCATGTGGCTATGCCCTAGCCGCTGTAGCTCATTTCCCGCGCTCATGACGTCGTCTTTTATTAGTGTAAGGATTTTATATGAAGTTTTTTTCAAAGCTCCAATAATTTTTACAATTATTGGATTTAAAGTCAATGGACCAAATGAAATGTCGTGAGGATTACATAAAACTACATGCTATTTTGTTGATATTTTATCGTCACATTGTATGTATGGTTTACGAACTGAGATACTTGGAATAAAGGCCTTAATGTGCTGGGTAAATTATCAGTTTCATGGGAATCTATATATTAATTACGTAAGCCGATTCTTTGCGTCAAAATTGTGGGCGACTGGGAAGTCGTAGAACGACGTGAGAGGGCTCAAATTAAAGGTCTTTATCCCGTGACGGCGGGAAAAATAGTAAAATTCCCAAAATCTTAACACAAAATTAGATATAACGTACAATGTTCTCCATAAGAATAGCATTAGAAGGCATTTACTGCTGATTTTTGTTTACTTCAATCCAGCTGATCGTGATTTTATCATTAGCAAGTAAGCTTACATTTGGATTACTCATTTGCCAGTCAATTCTGCAATGTAATCTATATAAATAAAATTAGAGTTTTGTCTGTACATTGCTTAGAATAATGAACTTTTTGGTTATTTTTACATTTCATAGGTCAGAGAAACCGAATCAAACCTTATCTCAATTTCTGTCTGTCTGTCTGTCTGTCTGTCTGTCTGTCTATCTGTCATTCTCTTGGTAACGCTAAAATACGCACTTTATTACAACTACTCCTCAATAACTATAGCACTGTCCCGCCTGAAACTTATTTTCCAAATACTATACATATATGAGATGGTTTTAGACGTATTTCATCGAATATGAGACAGTTAGATATTTAACAGTAAACCCTTGAAAATCAAGTTTTTGTCGATTTTTGACGTGGAATTTCTGGAAGCCCATGTTAACCTTATGAGAAATGAAATTATTGAATCTTAACAGCTGTTTCAATTAAACAAGTTGGTTCTGTTCTGTGATGTTCAATA